GCACTATTTACAATTGCTAAGATCTGGAAACAGCCCAAGTGTCCATCAGTAGATGAGTGGACAAAAAATCTGTGGTACATGTACACAATGGAATATTATGCAGCTGTAAAAAAGAAAGATCTCTTATCCTTTGAGATGACATGGAGGAACCTGGAGAGTATTATGCTGAGTGAAACAAGCCAGTCAGATCTGGCTCATGATCTCATGTATTTATGGTATATAATGAACAAAATAAGCTAATGATCAAAATAGATCCAGAGACAAGGAAGTAGGGAACAGACTGACAAACCTCAGAGGGATGGTGGGCGGGAGGGCAGGAAGAGATAAACCAAAGAACTTATATGCATATATGCATAACCAGTGGACACCTCACTCTTGTTAAGGGTAGTGCAGATGTTGTACTACACTGCACAGAGGTGGCACTGACCTCCTGGGCCCTCAACACTCTTTCTAATGAAAGTGACAGCTCATACTTACTGAAGACCTCCAAAGAGGCAGGCGTGCTCTACAAGCCCTATGTGCGTTAGTCCCTTCACCCTTCACAACAACCCTGTGCGGTAGGTTTTCTTACTACCTTCAATCACCTCCCTTTTTTTTATCTTTGTCAACCTGACAAAAGAATACACCTTACCTGGCCGGTGTGGCTCAGTGGTTGAGCATCGACCCATGCACCAAGAGGTCACTGGTTCGATTCCCAGTCAGGGCACATGCCCAGGTTGTGGGCCAAATCCCCAATGAGGGGCACACAGGAGGGGGCCAGTCGATGTTCTCTCTCATCAATGTTTTCATCTCTCTCTCTCTCCCCCTCTCTCTAAAAATCAATGAAGTAAAAAAAAAAAAAAAATAGACCTCAATGCAGTTTTAATTTGACTTCTCTTAGCCACAATAACACGGACCATTTTCTCTTATGTTTAAGAGCCACATTATTTTCTTTATTCATGGTGATCAAACGCTTTGTCTCTTTTTTGCTTGAATGACTGATCTTATTCTTAATTTATGAAACTCTTTATGTATTAAGGAAATCAACCTGTCTTTGGTGGAAATTTTTTTTTTCTCAATTTATCACTGTCAGGATTTTATCTATCATATGCCAAAAGCTTCTTCACCTTTTGGAAACACCATTCAAAGACCTCCTGGATGTTAGCCTTTCAGTACAGTGTTGGTTTATTTACTGCCCTGGCTCATGTGAGGAAACATTTGTGGTTTCGTTTTATTGATGTTGTATTTTATTTCCCATCTTAAAACATACTGAACATTACTGTAATGTATGTTGCCAGGTTGGTACTAGACTTATCAGGGTGATCACTTCATAAGTTACGTAAATGTCTAATCACCATGCTGGACACCTGAAACAAATATAATATTGTATGCTAAATGTAATTAACAAATAAAAAATATTTAAAACATATACTAAACATGACTTTATGAGCAAAGCAAATGACATCTAATGTGTTTTTATGTTCTTAGCTGACATCATAGCTTTAAAATTGATCCAAGAAAATGAATGTTGCCTATATTGTATTTTCCAAAAATTCCTCTCCTCACAAATTTTTCCCCTTAAATTCTAAATTCTTAGAATTTAGTAATTTTACTTCTCTAACCTGGATACCTGAAAGCACTGTCTTGTTCCTGTGCTTTTGAATATGCCTTTCAATTTATAGTTAAGTCACATTTCTCAATTTCTATTATGTCTCTGGCTGTAAAGGCCACAGAATAAAGCACTGTAAACTGGAAGACATAGTGATGAATACTTTCAGTCAAGATGGCGGGCAGGTAAACAAGGTCTTGTCTCTTCCCACAACCACATCAAAATGACAGCTAAACTACAAAACAACCATCATTCAGAACCGCCTGACATCAAGCTGAATGGAAGTCCTACAACTACGGAATTAAAGCAGCAGCCACATCCAGACTGGTAGCAGGGGCGGAGGGGGACAGGCTGGGCCCACACCCATGTGTGGCGGATAAAAATCAGGAGGACACCTCGGCTGGGAAGGTCCTCCCTGAGGACTGAGGGGTTCCCATCCCACACCAGGCGCCCTGCTCAGGGTTCCAGTGCCAGGAAGAGAATCCCCATCACTTCTGGCTGGAAAACCAGCAGGAACTGAGGCTCAGGGAGGCTGAGGCCCCTGGAGCCCCAGGCAGGTCCTCTTAAAGGGCCCGCACATGGACTTACTCAGACTTGCATCCTCCAGGTTCCAGTGTCAGAGACATACCTAAGTGGCCCCAGGCCTGGCACCAGAGACCTACAAGGAAGAACTGAGTTGTTTGGCATTGGAGAGAGAGCTGGAGGGACAGCTTTCTCCTGGACAGATGTGCTGGATGAGGCCCTTGCTCCTTCAGTGAGCCCTTCCCCCATGGGGCAGGCAGGCAGACAGGAACCATACCTGGGACTCCAGCAACCTGGCCCATACTGTTCACCTCGCCCTGGTGATTCCCTGAGGCCCTGCCCCACCCAACTTTCAGGCCCACTCAAGCTGTTTCCAGTGGCTTTACCTTAGGAATGGCCTGTCTTGGTTTCTGTTTCAGATTTTCCTAAATTCTCTCAAATAAACAGCATCTGGCCTCAGAAAGTCCCATACCTCTGGCTAAGTGGCCCCAGCCCTGGTTCACAACTTGACTTTGCTGGGGCATCTCCAAGCCCAGCACAAGAAGCAGCCATCTGCAGATCACTTTGTAGCTTATGCCTGGTGGACCCAGGCAGAACAGAGGCAGTGGCTGATCTTGCCCCAGAGCCTGCACACCCAGTGGAGAGCTTCAGACCATGTCAAAGCACCACCACCCAACCACCTCCACAATTGATACACTCAAGGAGTGGACTCAGTGGGTACCAGAGCCCTGATGAAGTAAGTCTTGCTCTGTGTGGTGGGCCCTGCACAGTTGATCCTCCAAGGTGGTCAGAGGTCAGTGGTCAGTGGGCACAGACAGTCCTTGCAGCTGATCAGCCTGAGTAAGTCCCTCCCATTGATGTGCCAATAGCAATCAAGACTCAATTACAACAGAAGGGTGGACAGTCCACACGAGGGGTGCACCTCAAGGTCACAGCTGAAGTGATCAGGGAGGCTGTGCCACTGGACCCTACAGGACACCTACTACAACAGGCCATCATTGTAGAACCGCCTATGTAGCCTAGGAGACTGAGCAACTCTACCTAATACATAGAAACAAACACAGGGAGGCAGCCAAAATGAGCAAAGAAACATGTCCCAGATGAAAGAACAGAACAAAACTCTAGGAAAAGAACTAAACAAAATGGAGATAAGCAATATAACAGATGCAGAGTTCAAGACACTGGTTATGAGAATGACTTGATGAACTTTGTGAGGACCTCAAGAGCATAAAAAAGGATGAGTCAGAAATGAAGGAGGCACTAACTGAAATTAAGAATAATTTACACAGAATCACTAGTAGAGCAGGTAAAGCCAAGAAGCAAACCATCGGTTTGGAATATAAGGAAGCATAAAAACACCCAATCAGAACAGCAAAAAGAAGAAAGAATCCAAAAAAATGAGGATAGTGTAAGGAGCCTCTGGGACAACTTCAAGTGTACCAACATTTGCATCATGGGAGTGCCGGTAGGAGAAGAGAGAGAGCAAGAAATTGAAAACCTGTTTGAAAAAATAATGACAGAAAACTTCCCTAACTTGGTGAAGGAAACAGACATACAAGTCCAGGAAGCACAGAGAGTCCCAAACAAGATGAACACCAAGACACATCATCATCAAAATGCCAAAGGTTAAAGACAAAGAGAATCTTAAAAGCAGCAAGAGAAAAGCAGTTAGTTACCTACAAAGGAGCTCCCATAAGATTGTCAGGCAATTTCTCAAAAGAAACTTTGCAGGCCAGAAGGGAGTGGCAAGAAATATTCAGAGTGATGAAAAGCAAGAACCTATAACAATTACTCTATCCTGCAAAGCTATCAATTAGAATCGATGGACATATAAGGAGTGTCTCAGACAAGAAAAAGCCATAGGTGTTCATCACCACCAAACCAGTATTATATGAAATGTTGAAGGGTCTCCTTGTGGAATAAGATAAAAATATGAACAATAAAATGGCAATAAAAACATATCTATCAACAGTTGAATCTACAAACAAAATGAGCAAGCAGAACAAAAACAGACTCATAGATACAGAGAACTTTTTGATGGTTGCCAGATGGGAAGGGGGGTGGGGATGTGGGTGAAAAGAGTAAAGAGATTAAGAAATACAAATTGGCCCTGGCCAGTTTAGCTCAGCGGTTGGAGCATCAGCCCAAGGACCAGAGACTCTCAGGTTGGATTCCGGTCAAGGGCAGGTGTCTTGGTTGCAGTTCAGTCCCTGACACTGGTCAAGGTCATGTGAGAGGCAACCAATCGATGTGTTTCTCTCACATTGATGTTTCTCCCTCTCTATCTTTCTCTCTCTCTTCCCCTCACATTCTATCTGATGACTAAAAAAAAAAAAAACAACAACAAAAAAAATACAAATTGATTGTCAGACTGATAAACCTCAAAGTGAAGGGGGAGATAAACAAAAAAACTTCTATGCATATATGCATAACCAATGGACACAGACAACAGTATGGGGAAGGCAAGGAGGGGGGTGGGAGCAGCGATGAGAAGGTCAATAGGGGAAAAAGGGGTGTATCTATAACATATTCAACAATAAAGATAAGTTTAAAACAGGACATATTAGTGGTGAATTTAGATTAGGTAAGACTTTATCACTACTTTCGTGACGAACCTATGATATTACTGAGAATAAATGGCTTTAGCTTTTTATGTGACAGTTTACTTGTCTATGAATGAGCAGAACCACACTTGTTCTGTTTTGTCCGCCATAGCTACATTTATACATGGTGACTTCCTTAGTCATGTAACAGCATTTTTATAAATGTACAATTGTTTGTATGTGTGATCTGCACACACAAGTAACAAAGGTACTATTTTAGCAGAGGGTTCCCCTCACCATAAAAATATGGAAATACAATACCAACCTCTGTGGTGACTAGTGTTTACCTGGGGCAGGCTGGCATCTGGGTGCTCTTCCTGCCAGCTCATGTATGGCAGGAAATCCACATCTTCTTTGGCAATAAGTTCCAAAATATTTGGAATATTAGGAAAAGGTGACTCATTACCATCCTATATTGAATCATAATCAAGTAAAAGAACAAAAGAGACGTTATCAAATGAAATGATTATCATATATTCTAAAGCCCTGTGAACGGTCTGGGACATGTGCAGGTGTCCGAGCGGGTCCTGGGTCCTGGGCCACAGGTGAGAGAGACAGAAAGAGGCCCCTCCTGGACATGGCACTGCACTGAGTGCCTTACACTCAGGGAGGAGAAGGGCTTTTCAGAGCTCGGCTAGGGGAGCCCAGCCTTTTCTATTTTTTGAAGGTCTTGGATTAATAAAAGATGAGAAATGCAAAAAAGGTAACAAAACTGTAGTAAATCTTAAAAGTACACATGTAAGTAATTAATAATTATAACATTAAAAATAATAACATATGTATCTCATTTATAGAGGTTACCATGAGCCCTCCCGCTGAAGCCCTGGCTCGATGATCCTCCAGCCCTCCCTTCCCTGTTCATCACAGGCCAAGGATGCAGATGTTGTCAGCGACAGAGTGAGAGTGATTTTGTTAATATGTAAACACAAAGAAAATAGCCATGAATTAACAAAAGTACATACCCTTTTCTCAATTGCCACAAAGCTTGTAAACTGTGATATGAGAGAGTTTTCTTTACTGAGTTGAATAATCAGAGATTTTAAGATTTGCTTCTTCATCTAGGATAGAATAAAACAAATGCAAACATGTCCTGTTTTATTTTTCATTAAATAAGTATTAAATGATCTAAAAGGTTTTTTCTATAACTAGCAAATGATTTCATAACTAGAATTTCAAACTAAATATTGAATCAATGGCCCTATCTAAATATCTCAAGTTGGTGTCTAAATGTTCTCTACTCAACTGAGGGGCCAAGTCATAGAAGGATTGATTCTATTTATTTATTTATTTTAGTAATCCTCACCTTGGGGTATTTTTCCCATTGATTTTCAGAGAGAGTAGAAGAGAGAGAGGGAGAGAGAGAGATCAGTTGCCTCCCACACAACCCTGACCAAAGCCAGGATTGAACCTGCAACCCAGCTTCATGCCTGACTAGAATCAAACCCAGGACACTTCCAGGCCCACTAACTGCTGAGCCAGGGAGGAATAATTCTATTTATAGAGCCCTTTGTAAATTACAAAGAAGTCTCACTCTGGAGTATGCTGAGCTTCCAAAATCTTTTAGACAGTCTGTGCCTCCCATTTTCTAGGTGAGACTCTAAGGGTAGACAGGTGGAGTGACTTGCTCAGGACTGTCTGATGGCAGAGCTGGTTGTGACCCCAGAGATAAGAGGGACATAAGCACAACAGAACTCCAGGCTGCTAACAGAAGGGCAGTGAAGGAGGGCAGTGAAGACACAGGCCACTCCTTACAAGCTGTCATTGTTTGCAAGAAGTCGGTGGCCCGTGTGGCATGCTGGTTCCTCCCTTTGAGGATGGCACTGAGTCTTAATGCTCCTAACTTCTCTGAAAACCAGAGCCTCAGAGGCACCAGCAGGGCCATGGTGGCAGAATGGCTGAGTGGGACCCCAGCCAGGCGCCTCGTCAGCTCAGCTGAGAGGGAGCATAGTGGCTTTGTCCCCGCTGTGTGTCCTTAGGCAAGTGATCCCCGACCCTGCACCTGGCTCTTCTTCAGAAAGAGGACAATATGACTGTCAACAATACACCAGTGACAGACGCCCGAGCCTCCTACAGCCCCTCTGATGGCACATCACCAGAGTTCGAGGCAGCTACAGAGCTCCTGCACCCCAGATGTGACAGCACGTGCCCGGAATGCGCACCACTCTCCACGTCCATGGATAAGTCAACTTAAGAAACACCACGTACAAAACACAATAGTTTTTGCTATGAACAGCGCAAACCTCGTGATGCGTTGCATTTTCGTGGAGAATGCCGTCTTCATAATCTCTGATCAGAGCCCGGGCAGCCAGCCTGTGAATCATCTGTTTAAGTAACAAAGGAAAAGAAGATTTCAATGTCTGCTAATTACAGTCATACATAGAAAACTTTTAAAACTGAGGTGTAATTTACAGACACTAAAATTCACCCGTTTTAAAGTGTACAGTTTGATAAGTTTTAAATGTATCCAATTGTGTGACCGCCATGGAAATAAAGACACAGAGCAGTTCCTTCACCTTAAAAACCCCTCCAGCTCCTGGCAACAGCTCATCTGTTTTCTGTCCCTGCAGTTTTGCCTTTTCTATAAAGGGTCATTTTGCCAATTCGATTTATTTCAAAAAATGTGAACTGCTCTACCGTAGGAGGGGCCAGCTCAGTGCCATGGTGCCCAACCATGACTGTGGGCTCCGTGCTGAAGGGTTCTCTCCTCCTTTCAAATGGCTGCAAAAGAGACTGATCTTAAATGGCAATGTCCGCTTTCCACGCAGTCCAGCTCTTACCATCGTGTTGTTGGTCAGACCACAGTTCATAGAGGAAGTACAATTATAAAAATTGTGACTTTATGAAAAATGACATCTTCCCAGGTAAAATCCTTTTACTTTATTTCTGCCTTAGATTCCATTTTTTAAACAATATGGAAATTCCCTCAAGTTCTATACAAAGTCACTGGCAATTAATAATTATAATTATTGAGTCAGTGTAAAAAAAGCCACATTGTATTTTAAACATCTAAAAAAATCACCCAAAACTCAGCAATGTCTGGGAAGTAGTTTCTCTGGCTTTACAAATACTCCCATGAAAAGCAAGCTACATATAATACAGCAGAGACAGGCCAGGAATTTCCAGATCTTACTATAGTAGATTCAATACTAATGGAAATACTCCAAACTTGTTGGTGCTAATTTATCTGCTTTTTATTTTTAAATCCTCTCTCAACGATAGGTTCACTGAGTTGAGGGGTGGGAGGGAGAGAAACATTGATTGGTTGCCTCCTATATATGCCCCTCCAGGGATGAAACCTGCAACCTAAGTATGTGCCCTGACCAAGAATCAAGCCTGCAACCTTTTTGGTATATAGGATAATATTCCAACTAACTAAGCCATCCAGCCAGGGCTCATTGCTTTTAATTCAAAAGTAGAAAAATCAAATACAGCCTCAAAAAATGTTTTATTTAGGCTATTACTGTTATTTACTATTTACTGTTATTTACTATAGGTAGTCCAGTGGTACTTAACTTTTATTGAGTCATGGACATCTCTGAGAATCTCCCTGAAAATGTTGCATGCATAAGATACACACTTTAATTGCAGGTATTCACACCCACTGATGCCTATACAAACGTGGCTAAACTCAAGAACACAGATGAAGAACTGCTACGTTAGAAACTGAAGTGTCCTCATTGTGCTGAAATGTCAACACAGGAAGCACATTGAGCATTCTATATGAAAACATAAAATTATTATTAGCTTTCAAGCACTAGGTCCACAGTTTACATTTTGAATCTTACAATTCCAGTTGTCTTCTGTAGTTCAGTAGTTGACACCATCGTAGAAAATTCTTTCTCATGAATTAATGCACATAGAGTTGCCTGAAATAGAAAAAAAAACAATCTTTATTAGCTTTTCTACTCCACGGTGCTTTGCTCAGGGCCCCTGGTTAACCATCCATTGTATCCCGGGAAGAGAAAACCTGCCAGGATATTATGATTCAGGGAAGAAGGAGAGGGGAAAAAACAGAAAGAAAAATTACTAGCAAAATACCTCATTCTTCCCACAGTAAAACAAACTGGGTGCCTCCTTACCTGAGTACAGTGAGGAATAAAGCCATAGACCAAGAGCCGGTCATTGTGGAACAAGGCCTGCACCTGAGCCGGGGCCTGCAGGGGCTCAGGTGCACCAGGACTGAGCTGCTGCCACTTCACAGAGATTGAGTGGCAGCTCGGGGATCGTGCCCGAGTCATCTGGTCTTCTATCTATTAATAAAAAAGGAATTATTTCTCTTTCAGTGTGGTGTCCAAAAAATAGTTACTGAGCACAGAAACATGACATTCTGGCCTTTGAGATTTGTAGCTCTCTCCCCTGACCCCTTCCTGCTACAGGACACTTTTCCAAAAAGATTTTAAGTAGAATTTTTAATAATAGCACTAGCACATAATTTAAAGGTACAAAACACCCTAAAAGTGTTGCATTAGTTAATTCCTAGTATACAGCTCTGATATGGAGTAGATTCTAGTTATAAAAATTAATCCTACAAAGACTTGAGCAGACATTTCCCCAAAGAAGATGCACAAATGGCTAATAAGCACACGAAAAGATATTTAACATCATATGTCATCATGGAAATGTACGTCAAACCCCCAGGGAGATACAACTGCACACCCATTAGCATGGTTGTTATAAAAAACAAAAAAAAAGGAAAATAAGGATTGACCAGAATGTAGAAAAACAGTACATTGTAGAATCCTAGTACATTGCTGGGGATGTACAATGTGCAGCCATTGTGTGAAAATGGTGTGGCAGTTCCTAGAAAACTAATCATAAAATTACCATGTGATCTGGCAGTTCCACTTCTGGGTGTATGCCTAAAATAATTGAAATCAGGGTCTCACACCATGCTTGTCTACCAATACTCATAGCAGCATGGTTCATAAGAGCCAAAGGTGGAAACGACCCAAATGTCTACCAACAAATGAATGGACAAAATGTGGTAAATATAGGCAATGCGTATTATTTAGCCATTAAAAAGGAAGGAGATTCTGACACAGGCTACAATGTGGATGAACCTTGAAGACATTATGCCAGGTAAAATAAGCCAGGCACAAAAGGACAAATACAGTATGATTCCACCTATACGGGGTATCCAAAGTCGTCAACTTTATAGAGAAGATAGTAGAAGGGTGGGTGCCAGGGGCTGGGGAAGGGAGAGTCGGGAGTTGTTTTATGGGGACAGGGATCTGTTTGGGAAGATGAAAAGTATGGGATGGATGGTGCTGATGGCTGCTTAACATTGTGAATATACTCAATGTCACTGAACTGCATGCTTAGGTATGATTGAAATGATACATTTTATGTATATTTTGCCACAATAAAAATTTATTTGAGGTACTCTCCCTCCCGTGAGCATGCCCAGGCACACTTCTTGCCTCTCTCTCCTAAGCTCCAGGCCCTTCTTCTGCCTCTGTAACTTGTTTCCTGTGCCCATTTCTTCAACTGCTCATTTCTTCCACCTCTGTGACTTTCTAAATAAACTTTCTCTTACAGTTTGAAAAAAAATTAACTTTAGCAAAACATGTATAATACTTTCCTTTAAAAAAATCAATCCATGACATTTTATAAAGCAGAAATCAAACTATTAGCTAGGAGAAGGACCCAATTTCTTCTCCACTGTGCTCCTGCCAGGTAGAAAGTCAGTGGGCACCAAGGTGGGGGGCACGCCGGGGTGCCTTTGCCTCTTTCTAGCCCCCATTCCCATTAGTAAAAACACAGATGTATTGGTTACTGCTGATACATCAGTACAAAGATAACATTTCCATATGTAAACATAAGACTAGAACTAAGATGTTTGAGAAATGTACCTGTTTTTTCCAACTGTGTTTGGATTTTGAGTTAAAATATTCAAATAGTCCAGCACCACACTGGGACAGCATCCTTAAGATGTGACGATTTGCTGTAGAACTGATCACATTTCACAGGTATTACTTTTTAAAAAATTTTAGAAAGTCCATGTAGTTAACAAGGTTGACACAGTTCAAAACTCAACAAAAGACATCACATGCAGAAGAAGCTACTCTCTGTCGCTGAGGCTCAGGAGATTAAACAGGACAGACAGTATGAAACATTGAAAGGTTTGGGTAACTTAAGCTCCCACACATCAGAGGGCTAAACTCTCACAACAGAATAAAAGCACAAATTCTTGACTTCTGATTTATTGAAGGAGGGAGCAGATGATTCTGAAAACCCCCCCAAAGGGTACCAGAATGCTGATTCAGATCGACCTACTTTTAAGGACTGTCAAAGCTGCTCAAATTTGACTCCAAAGCCAAGAACTGGCAAAGGGTTATAAAGTCTACATCTTGAAATTTGCCCCACATCTACATAGCAAAAGGTATAAAGAAGTAACTTTCATTCTAGCAAAGATAATCTCTGATATTTAAATGACAATGTCCTATTAAATTTCTCTTGATAATAATTCTACACCTATCAAGAATGACTTTCTTACAGAGTTTCCTCCTCAGACATTAAAGAAATAATAACTTTTCAGAAAAACAGCTTAAGAAAGTTATCTCTGACACTTTCTCATGGATCAAGACCAGATTTGTCCTCAGCTCTCGAAATCAACTGGTAGTGATCACAACACTGATTAGAAAACCCTTCAGCTGGGTTTCTCTGTATTTTATAAATTCCATCAGTTAGTAAGGCTACTTAGAACTTTTTCTGTGTGTGGATTCAGAAGACAACGTGTTACATGGCGGGAGGAACAGCCTCTGCTCCTGGAGAACTCACAGCATCTTGCTGGAGTTTTCGAACACAAGTGAGGCAGAAATATTTAGAAAGATCCTAAAACTGGACAAAAAGTCAGTAATAATTCAGCTGTCACCCAGCACAGTCCCCCTCACATTCCCTTTCTTTCCTTCGAGGTTCTGGATTGCTGTCTGCCTGTCTGTCTATACCCCACACAGGACTGTGGCCTGAGCTGAGCAGGGTCTGTCCCATGACAGATCCTCAGCAAGGACACAGCAGCCTCCGCTCTGAGGGTCTGAGCCCAGCTGGGCCCCGCATGGGGGAGGGGGGACAAGTGTTGCTGTGACCAGGAGATGAAGCAGGGTGCCGACTGCAGGGGGAGAAGACACCTCCCATGGCAGGCTCATGGCTCCCACCCCGTGTCCACAAGTGCACACTATTCAGACGACATTCTGTGAGGAACAATTCCTGGGGGAGTCCGCCATGGGTTGGACACATTTCCTGGCTGGCCTGTGATGCCCTGTTAGGCCTCAGGTTCCAGAGAACAGGAGTAGGAGCTGGGACTGAGGAGGGGCAGAGAGAAGAGCCCTCTGGGCAGGCAGGGAGGGCCACCCAGGGTCATCGAGGGCCCTGGATCACGGCAGAAGCCCAGGGCCTAGGATAGCAGTGTGGGGAAGGGGAGACCTGATGGCCACGCCAGGGCGGTGACTATAGGGGGAGCACAGGAGGCGCAGACTGGCAGTGTGTGCAAACCCCGTCCAGCCCCTTTGGTTTGGTATGTCCCTTATATGTACAGTACATGCCTCAGCTCAACCAGAAAAGCTGACTATAACTGGGGAGGGGCTGATTCCAATAGTCACTGGGTCCGGCCTCCCCAGAGACAGATTCTCTGTGCATCTCAGGGTCTGACAAAGCACACCTCCCAGGAAGCTCAGCGACAAGGTGTCCTACGGAGCAGAGCAGGCGGTGGGGCCTCAGGCAGCAGACCCTCTGTCCCGCCAGAAACTGCTATGGGCTTGCTTTTCAGAATAGGCTGGACATTTGGATTTTTATGCAAAATGACAGACATTGCTTTGGTGTCTGCCATGGGCCAGTCTGTTCTAAGTGCTTTCCATTTGTAAGGTTCACTCAATCCCCAGTGTTTCTGCGTCGACGCCTTCATTTTATAGAGATGAAGCAAGTTGGCCAAGGTCATAGCTAATACGAGGCCAGCTCTCGGCCTGAGATCCAGGCAGCCTGGCACACAGTACAGAGCTCCGCATCTGTACACTAAATGGCTTCTGTACACAGGTGTCAACCTCGCAACTGCCAGGAAGCCCATGTGGGACAAGATGCCTGCTCCTAGGCTGCTCTTGGCGGCCTGGTGGTGCAACTCACCCCACACCACAGCAGAACAGCCGGGTGTGCCCCACGTGTCTCCGCACGAGCTGCAGCGTCAGGCCCTCCTCCCGGAGGTGGCCGTCAGACACCAGGAGGATGTTCCGCGTCCCTCGAGAAGGGGGCAGCAAACTTAGATAGCGGAGCGTTTTCCAGAAGTCGGTGTTCCCCATGGTGGGCGAGGCAGACTGCAGAGAGTGAGAAGAACAATCTGTCCCTTTCTGGGACCTTCACCATTCACTCTGGTCATTTACTGAGCAAGTCTCTCATGAGGGTTTATCATGAAGTATCATCCCTGAAAAGGTCTTTTCCCTAATTACACATTTGTGGAACCTCATTTACATCCTTGGAGTTTATTTCACGTCACACTCATCTGCTTTTTTATGGTTTGCAAAGGATTGTTAGATCGAACACCTCCTGCCAGCCTGGACTGAAAGGTGACTGGTCATTCTGCATTCGCTCCATTTAACACAAAGAGGAAAAGGGACAGAAGAAAACACTGCAAAACTGTTCATGCTGGTTAGACCTGGGTGGTGCAACAGTGGGTGATTTTTTTCCTACACGTTTTAATCTCCAAATTTTTTTCAATGAGTTCATATTGGTTTTGTCAGTGAAATAAAAGAGCCCACCCACACACATGGAAGGCCAGGGAGCTCTGACTGGTCTCGGGCAGCGCTGGTGGGACTGGACAGAAACAGACTCGGGAGACGAAGGGCGGCGCTTTCACTCACCGCAATGAACTCGGCGGGCACGTTGCTGCTTGTGCTGTACTTAGGGAATGAAAATAACTCCTGGTAACCTGTGTAATAAGACTGGAGTGAGTTGCTATTAAATATTCACTTTATTGACCACTAACAAGTAAAAATGTTTGATCAGTATTCCTTTCAATAATACATTCTGGCGAAAGCCATGCACTTCACTGTGCAAAAGGTTCTGAGTGAAATTACGTGTGAGCTGTTTGGTAGCAGATTGCGGTCAGATGCGGGCATCATGAGTTAGAGGCAGCGTGGCCACAGGGACACACTCTCCTTCCATGGCCTCTGCCTCCAGCAGTAGCAAACCCTGGCTCCTTCATAAAGGGGCTGGGCCTTCTGCTAAATGACATGGAAGAACCAACAGGACATGATGTCCCCTCACTCCACTCTGTGTGCCTTCTCTCATCTCTCAAGTGCCTCCTGCTGGTGCCTGAGATGGCCCTGGGCCCCCACCTGGAGAAGGCATTACCTGTCTTCTGATAGGGCCAATCTGATGCTTGCTGAGATCATTCCTTATAAACTTCTACTACTGTGCTCATTTCATGTGTTCTGTCCATATCCTTGGACCCTCATACTTGTCAGACCTGGGGTCTTGCCTTTGGTTCAACTGGTGATAACTGTAATGTTTATAAAGCACTTACTATGAACGAGGCTGTTGCAAGTCCTTCGCACACATTAGTTCACTCCTTACAACAGCACTGTGACGTAGGGACTATTACCTCCAGAATACAGATGAGGAAACGGAGGCACAAAATGTTCAAGTAACTTGCTCCAGGTGACACCTAGAGCTAGTATGTGGTTGATCTGGGATTTGAACCTAGGAACCTGGGTCCAGAGTTCCTAAACACTATGCTATGCTACTTCTCACTCCAAAGATGAAGCCAGGAATGCAGACAGCCATCACCTCTACCCCCAAATATGCTGAGAGTCAGGAGGAAGCACACTGTGGCCAGGTCAAAGAGCACTCACCTGAGCCAAACTTGACAACGTTCATCTTCTGCCTCTGACCCACCAAGGACAGTGCATATAAGGCGATCTGCTTGGCTTGCAAGAATGTCGCACCCTCCATGGAGCTGGAACAGTCGAGACAAATGATCACTTCACACTCCTCAGCTCTGTCGGGGGCGGTGATGCCAAGATCTGGGTGGAACACAAGCATGCAGGCCTGAAAGAAGAAAAAGGCGCTGGACTGATGCTTCTTACAATTTACACGGTCTGGCTTGTTCAAATTGACATGAGTTCATGTGTCAAAAGACCACAACATTTTGATCCAAAAACCTACCCACACAATCTCTCTAAACAATGGATGTGATTGGGACAGAGCACTGGGGGTAAAGGAGGCGCCCTGCAAACTGGATAAGGCCCCTGGGCTAAGGCCCGTGCTTCTCCCGAGGTCTCCAGCTCTAGTGGCAAGGTGTCACCTGCCATGGGAACAGCTGACACAAGAACTCCAAAAGCCTCACAGGGAGAGGTAGAAGCACAATGATGGGGGCATGTGTGTGTATTTCATTTAAAGCACACACAATGTACAAAAAACCATGTTTACAGAAAAGGTGAATTAAATCGTGCTTATTCCTGAAACTACAGGGGTCATCAGTTTACCATGCTCAACTGTGGCATTTGGAAGAGAATTTAGTTTATGTGTTACCAATATTTCAGGCATCCCTCCAAGGTACAAAGCAAGATATACATAGAGCTAGGGTTTGTAGGATTTGGCATAAATGTGTCATTTTTATTAGAAAAGACCTACTTGTAAAAGTAGAACATGAGCCCTGGCTGGTTTGGATCAACTGCTGGAGCATCTGCCCACAGACAGAAGAATCTTGGGTTCGATTCCCAGGCAAGGGCATGTACCATGGTTGTGGGATCAATCCCAGCCCCGGTTGGGGTACTGCAGGAGGCAACCAATTGATGTGTCTCTCTCACATTGATGTTTCATTCTCTCTATCTGTCTCTCTCTCCCTCCCTCCCACTCTATCTAGAAGTCAATGGAACAGGTGAGGACTAAAAAAAAGAAAAGGAGAATGTGAGATCTGGCGATCCCAACATATAGTCCATAAATCCCTGAGAGGTCAAAAATTAATATAGAATTAATATCTGAAAATTTATATGGTATCAACACTATCTGAAGAATGAACAAATAATGTGTCTGTTTCTCTCACATATATCACGTGCTATTCTAAAAGGAATAGCTACTATTGTGATTAAAATATACATAATTCTATATATTTTGGAAATTAACCCCTTATCTGATGTATCATTGGCAGTTATGCTCTCCCATGCAGTGGGTTGCCTTTCCATTTTGATGATTGTTTCTTTTGCTGTGCAGAAGCTTTTTAGTTTGATGTAGTCCCATGTGATCATTTTCTCCTTTGTTTCTGTTTACTTAGGTGATGTATCAGTAAATATTCTGCTGCGTCTAATGTCCGAGATTTTGTTGCCTGCATTTACTTCTAGGATTTTTATGGAATCAGGAGTCACATTTAAGTCTTTTATCCAGTTTGAGTTTATTCTTGTGTATGGTGTTGATCATCTAGTTTCATTAAATGCATGTAACTGTTCAATTTTCTCAGCACCATTTATTGAAGAGGCTGTTTTGACTCCAGTGTGTGCTCTTGCCACCTTTGTCAAATATTAATTGAGCACATTGCCTTGGGTCCATTTCTGGGTTCTTTGTTCTGTTCCATTGATCTATGTGCCTGTTCTTGTGCCAGTACCAAGCTGTTTTGATTACAGTGGCTTTGTATTATAACCTGAAATCTGGTATTGTGATCCCTCCTACTTTGTTCTTCTTTTTCAAGATTCCTGTGATTATTCAGGGCCTTTGTTGGTTCCATATAAACTTTTAGAGTATTTGTTCTAGTTTTGTGAAGTATATCATTGGTATTTTGATGGAAATTGCATTGAATCTACATATAGCTTTGGGTAGTATGGACATTTTAATGATGTTCAACAAAAGGAAGACAAAGAAGCCAATTAAAAAATGGGCAGAGGACCTAAAGAGACACCTCTCCAAACAGGACATACAAATGGCCAAGAGGTATATGAAGAAATGCTCAACATCACTAATCATCAGAGAGATGCAAATGAGGTATCACTTCACACCTGTCAGAATGGCCACCATCAACAAATTATCAAACAACAGGGCTGGCAAAGGCATGGAGAAAAGGGGACCCTAGTACATACACTGCTGGTGGGAATGCAGACTGGTGCAGCCACTATGGAAAACACTATGGTGTTACCTCAGAAAATTAAAAATTAAACTGCCATTTGACCCAGTTCAGTTTTTACTGAATATACCCTAAGAAGCCTGAAACACCAATCAGAAAGAATATATGTACCCTTATGTTCACAGCAGCACTAATTACAATAGCTAACATCTGGAAACAGCCCAAGTGTCCATCAGTAGATGTGTGGATAAAATAGCTGTGGTACATGTACACAATGGAGTACTATGCAGCTCTAAGAAAGAAAGATCTCTTATCCTTTGAGATGACATGGAGAGACCTGGAAAGTATTATGCTAAGCAAAACAAGTCAAGCAGAGAAAGACAAATATCACATGATCTCACTTATTTCTGGAATATAATTAACTAAACAAACTGATGAACAAAATAAACCCAGAGATGTAGAAGCAGGGTATGAACTGACATTCCTAGGAAGAGGGGCAGGGGATAAACCACAGAACTTATATGCATGTATGCATAATCAATGGACATAGACAAGAAAACTGGGGATGAGGTGGGGGGGGGGATGGGGAGGAGAGAGTCAATGTGGGGAAAAAGGAGAAACATCTGTAACAAAAATAAATTAATAAAAATAAATAAATAAAGTATACATAATTATCTTTTATTTTATTTATTAATCAATCAATACTTAAAGTACAAGCACTATCATATAAGTTTCCATTTTCTAAAAAGGTCCCTTAGCCCTGGCCAGGTAGCTCAGTTCCCTGAAGCATCATCCCAATATGCCACAGTTGTGGGATTGCTCCCCAGTCACATATGAGAACTGACCAATGAACACATAAAGAAGTGAAACCACAAATCAATGTTTCTCTCTCTCTCTCTCTTCCTTTCTCTCTCTAAAATTAATAAATATTACAATATTCCCTTAGCTTTATTGAGATACAGTTGATTTATAATACTGAGCAAGCTAAAGATGTACAATGTGATGATTTGATGCACGTAAATATTGTGAAGTGATCAGCAAAATAAGGCTAGTCAGCATATCCATTACCTCACATAACTATTTTTTTGTAGTGAGAACATTTGAGATCTATTCTCTTGGCAACTTTCAAGTATATAACTCAATACTGTTAACTACAGTCACCACGCTGTGTATTAGATACTCAGAACTTATTCCTCTTATAACTAGAAGTTAGTTCCCTTTGACAAACATCTCTCCATTTCTACCCCCTAACCTCAGCCCCTGGCAACCACCATTCTACTGTTTCTATGAGCTCAACTTTTTCAATTCCATACATAAGTGAAATCATACAGTATTTGTCTTTATCTGATTTATTTCATTTAACATAATACCCCAAGGTTCATCAATATTTTTGCATATGGCAGGATTTCCTTTCTTTTAATGGCAGAATAATTATCTGTCTATCTATCTCACATTTTCTCTAACCATTCATCTGTCGATGGACACTTAGATTGTTTCTATGTCTTGATTGTGAATAATTTCTATGTCTTGATTGTCAATATGGAGGTGCAGATATCTCTTTGAGAGTGATTTTACTTTCTTTGAATATATGACCCAAAGTGCAATTGCTTCATATAATAGTTTTATTTTTAATGTTTTGAGGAACCTCTGTTTTCCACAGTGGCTGTACCAATTTGCATTTCCACCAACAACACACAAGAATTCCTTTTTCTTCGCATCCTTTCCAATACTTCCTGTCTTGTCTCTGAAGACAGCTGTCCACACAGGTGTGAGGTGGTACCTCTTTGCGATTTGATTTGCATTTCCCTGTTTATTAGTGATATTGTGTGTTTTTCTCATGTACCCTTTGGCCATCTGTATGTTCTCTTTGGGAAAATGTCTACTCAAGTCCTTTGCTTATTTTTAAATCAGATTATCAGTGTTTCTGCTATTGAGTTTATGAGTTTCTTACATCTTTTAGATATTAACCCCTTATATGATATATATATAGTTTGCAAATATTTTCTCCTATTCCATAGGCTGCCTCTTCATTTTGCTGATGGTTTCCTCTGCTGTGCAGAAAAAAAAACTTTTATTTTTATGGAGTCCCACTTGTTTATTTTTGCTTTTGTTGCTGTGCTTTTGGTGTCATACAAAAACTTGTTAGCAAGACTAATGCCAAGGAGCTTTCCCCCTATGTTTTCTTCTAGAAGATATAGTTTCAGAACTTACATTTAAGTCTTTAATCAATTTTGAATTATTTCTGTGAGTGGTGTAAGATAGGGGTTCAATTTCAAAAGGTATGTGGATATCTAGTTTTCCCAAAACCATTTACTGAAAAGACTATCCTTTGTTCATTGAGTATTCTTGGATCCCTCATCAAATGAATATTGACTGTATAGGTATGAGTTTACTCCTGGCTCTCAATTCTGTTCCATTGGTCCATGTGTCTGTTTTTAGGCTAGTGCCATACTGTTTTAATTACTATAGCTTTGTATTATAATTTGAAACCAGGAAGTGTGATGGTTCCAGCTTTGTTCTTCTTTCTCAAGATTTCTCTGGCTATTTGTGGTGTTTTATAGTTCCATCATGGGATATCTTTCCATTTATTTGTGCCTTCTTCAATTTCTTTTATCAATGTCTATAGTTTTTAGTGTACAGATCTTCCATCTCCTTGATTAAATTTATTCCTAAGTATTTTATACTTTTTATTTCTTTTTCAGAAAAGTTGTTGTTAGTGTACAGAAATATGACTAATTTTTGTATGCTGACAAAATTTGGTGGCCTTACCTCCAGGGGGTCCCAGACCATAGCTGACAGTGACTAGAGCCAGTTCACTGGCCACATCAGCATCCACAGCTGGCACCAAGTCTTATATGCCTGACTCCCCCTGGGTTCCATGGCATATGGTCCTGATGACAGGACCAAGCCAAACAGAGCTGTAGATAATTGCTCAGGGATATAAAGCTGTGTCTATTTCATCAGCTGGAACTATGGTCAGTGAGTCTGTGGCTTGGGTGTGAGACTGCTTGGTCAAAATGACTATCCTCAGGTGTTGGCCTGTACTGGGGCTTCACAGTCCCCTACCTGGATCCCAAAGCTCTTACACAGGCAGGATGGCTAGCTGGATGGATGGCTGAATGGCTGGCTGGCTGGCTGGATGGCTGGCTGGCTGGCTGGATGGATGGAGAGATGGATGAATGGATGAATGGCTCGGATGGATGGATGGATGGATGGATGGATGAATGGATGGATGGATGGATGGCTCGGATGGATGGATGGATGCCACATTATTGTTGGCAGGAAAAATACATTCAAGGAACATCTTATTCAACCATCTTGCTGATGTCACTCTTGATTTTTATTTTGATAACAAGAGATTCTTCATCACAGCCATATGGCCATAATAACTTTGTATCTCTTTTTTACAGTATCAATATTTAAAAACTATACAGACAAATCAGTGTAGCATGTGAAGGCAGATGTTCCTTTCGTTGGGGATTAAGGTAAAAATTACAATATTTACAAGGAACTAAGCCACCTGGGAATTTTGGTTGAAACCTCCGAAGTTTGTCATGCTTGATATCACCAATATTTTTAGCTGTAGAATCTTGGGATGCAGTGAGCTCATTTATTAATGCTAGCTTTCAAGACTAGCAATAATTTACAAGTTTAAATAATTTATTCAGAAATACTTTTTCAACAGTCTCCTACTTTAAGTAAGAAGGACAATACCTCGCTGTCTTTCTCTGGATGTTTTTCAACCCACATCCTTGGGAGATATGCATCAGACAAACCGATGTGGAGAGAAAATCCACTGCTATCCAAGGAGCTCCCGTCCACGGTGCTAATCACAGCTCTGCAGTCTGTGCTCTGCAAACCAACAGCCACGACAACAAGTGTGAGGACGAGAACACCACATAGTGTCAATGTGCACTTACCTGTCTGGTAGCATACCTCGCATAATTCACATAACTCCACTAAGAATCAACAATCTAGTGACACAGTCTAAAATTATGAACTGTATGTTTTAGACGTGTAACCAGTATCTTATCATTTACCCTCCAGAAATTCTAGGGTTGATATAAATAGTTAAATTTAGGTAAGTTTGAAACAGTTTTAAACAGTCTTAAACCCATTCAAAGATGACAGATCTGTGAATTCAGTTAGAGTTCTCTGCAGACACTAGACAGTACATCAGAGGGTCCTAACTCAGAACAGCAAAATGGAAAAATTCAACCAAGGTCTTAGAATTATACCTTCTTTTAAAATTATATACATATATGTGTGTGTGTATTTATATCTTTTTTAATCTTCACCCGAGGATATTTTTCTATTTATCTTCAGATAGAATGGCAGGGAGGGAGAGAGTGAGAAACATCTACATGAGAGAGACACATCGACTGGTTGCTTCCTACACGACCCAACCAAAGCCAGGGATGAACCTCAACCTAGGTACGTGCCTTTGACTGGAACTGAACCCACAACCCATTGGTCTGTGGGCCATTGCTCTAACCGTTGAGCCAAACTGGCCAGGCCTAAAATTATATTTTTATAAATATAAAATCACTTTAAACTTTAAAAAAATTTTATTGCTTGATTTTAGAGAGAAAAGAAGGGGGAGAGAGGGAGAGAGAGACAGAGAGAGAAACATCTATTTCTTGTTCCAGTTATTGATGCACTCATTGGCTGCTTCTTGTATGTGCCCTGACCGACTGAACCTTCACCCTTGGCATATCAGGATGACACTCTAACTAACTGGGCTACCCGGCAGGGCCAATATAAATCCACTTTAAGCCCTGGCCAGTGTGGCTCAGTTGGTCAGGCGTCGTCCCGTGCACCAGGAGGTTGCAGGTTTGATTCCCCGTCAAGGGCACATGCCCAGGTTATGAGCTTTATCCCTGGTAGAGAGCATGCAGGAGGCGGCTGATCAATGCTGCGCTCTCACATCAATATCTCTCTCTCCTCTCCCTTCCTCTCTCTCTAAAAATCAATGAACTATTCTTTTAAAAAATCACTTCAAAAATGTAGATGCTAAGCTTTAAAGTCATAAAGGCAATGTGGTAATTTATGAAATGGCCACAGTGTTTCCATTCTGGTGGCGCTGGTGCGCTCACCCCTTTGCAAAAGGGTCTGTAGCTCCTCCTGTCAGAAGGCGCCCTCCCTGTCATACTTCAGAATATCCTAGAGGTGTTCTGAAGAACCACAGCAGTGGTTAAAACACCACACAGTGCACTCACCCAGCCGCCGGTGGCCTCTGGCGCAGGCCTTGGCCCACTGCCCACTCACCTCAGAGCTTCGCACTGCTTCTCACATCTCAGCACAGACAGGGGAGAAAAAGGCTTTAACCTGACAGATGTAGACCAAACCCACAAAAATCCAGAAAGAGCTCAAAGGAGACACCACACAGAATAGAAGAAGAAACATATTACAAATGCTTTCAGAGAGCTGAACGAGATGGTACATCTGCGAAACACAGAATGCTGTAAATGGGACACATGGAACAGCATTCTTACCCAAAAATGTGCGAGAACTAACTAAACATTTCAGCAGAATTTAGAATTGAGAAAACCATCCCAAAAAAACTCAAGAAGACAATAAAATGGGCAATAGGAATGGGAGATAAGAACATCACTCAATGCCCTGGCCGATTTGGCTCAGCAGTTAGAGCATCAGCCTGTGGTCCAGAGAGCCCTGGGTTCGGTTCCCACAAAGGGCACGTACCTTGGTTGCAGTGTGTTTCCGGCCCTGGTTGGTCGTGCGGGTGGCAAACACTCGATGTGTCCCTTTCACATCGATGTTTCTCTCTCTCTCCCTCCCACAAAAAATGAAAAAAAAAAAAAAAAAAAAGTCCTTGGGTGAGGATTAAAAAAGAAAAAAACAAACATCATTCAGCCTCTCAGAAGTAACCCTGGAAGTGACAAGACAGTGTCGTCAGTGCTCTGGGGAAGGCGGTTTCCAGCCCGGGGCTGAGCACCTCACCGAGAGCAGCACGGAGCACAAGGGTGTCTCTGCCGTCACTCTCACTCTGCAAGGAAATGAGGCTGTGCCCTCCAAATGGGGGGAACAAAACAAGAAGCAGGATAAAGACAAAACCCCTACAAAATAGAAGATTCAAGGGCAGCCCTCGGACAGCAGCTGCCAACAGTAGCCAAGCTGGGGTGGGGGATGCATGAACGGTTCTCTGAAGCACTCTGCAGTGTGAAGAGTAGGAGAGGAGTTTTAGTCTCCGTGTTAGAGCACCTGTGAAGAACTGTCCTAGAAGTCTAAGCAAATGAAAATGCGCTCCCCACCCAGGAATAATATATAAAGAGGTTAAAAAAAAAAGAATATGTAGCCCTGCCAGGCATGGCTCAGTGCTTAGAGCATCAATCCATGCACTGAAGGGTCGCAGGTTCCATTCCTGGTCAAGTGTATGTATCTGGGTTGCAGGTTCAACCCCTGACCCTGGTCAGGGCGCATGTGTGAGGCAACCAATCGATTCTCTCACATCGATGTTTCTCTCTCTCTCACACCCCCGTCTACTCTCTCTACAAATCAATGGAAAAAAAATATCCTCAGATGAAGATTAACAACAACAAAGAATATGCAATCATAAGACATTTCTTGGTTCAACAGTAAACATCATTTACACAGTCATAATAACGTAAACACTGAATTGATTTAACTTTTGGAATGAAGGGAGAGAAAAAGTGGGGAGTGAGGTGAGCACAGAAAGCGAGAGAGTTAAATTTTCATCAACCGTAACAGGAAATAAAAAATTTTTTTCTGAAACAGATGACTCAAGAACAAGCAGGAAAATCAACGTTTTAATTTTTAAAAAAATTAATTTTAGAGAGAGAAGAAGAAAGAGGGAGACAGAAACATTGACTGGCCACCTCCTGCATGCCCCTCACTGGGGATTTGGCCCACAACCTGGGCATGTGCCCTGACTGGGAATCGAACAGGTGACCTCTTGGTGCATGAGTTGATGCTCAACCACTGAGCCACAATGTCTGGGTGGGAAAAAGTTTTTATTTAGAATTTTGGAGAGCCCTGGCCAGTTTGGCTCAGTGGTACAGCATTAGCCCGTGGACCAATGAGTCATGGGTTCGATTCCAGCCAAGGGCACGTACCTCCATTGCAGTTTGTCCCTAGCCCTGGACATGGTTGTGTGGGAGGGAACCAAATGATGTGTCCCTCTCACGTCAATGTTTCTCTTTCTCTCCCTCTCTCTCCCTCCAGCTCTATCTGAAGATAAAGAGAAAAATATCCTCAGGGCTCACTTCGCTGTTAAACCAGATGCATGTGATTCTTTTGTAACATAAAATTTATGTCAAAATAAGAGCTCTTAAGAAATAAAGCAAGATGTACTGACCTTCTTTTTTAGTTCATGTGTATCACTAGAAATGAACTCAATCACATATGGCATCTCGATAGACATACTCAGAGAGAAGCTACCAAAAATGAAGAGAAAGTTGTCTTAGTCTAATATCTTAAACATTAAACAGCTACCTATAATTGTTTTACATAATTTTAAATGAAAATTTAAGCCATAAAAAAACTTATGCCCACTGAATGATTATCAGGTTTTATATTTTAGGTACTAACCTTTGCTTTGTTCCTATTTCCTTTATACAAATCTTTTCCACAGTATCCTGTTTAAAAAAAAACAAAACGTGTAAGTATCAAGTTTCACAAAGAGACTAAGCCGAATGCAGCCACCGAGGCTGCAGACTGCAGCCGCCAGGCAGCTGGCCTCACTTTGGAGCAGTGAGACCCTGAGCACTTGTTCACAGTTCGTGTACACACACCTCCATACCTATGGATGCATATAAACACACACATAAATATACATACAATTTATAAATACATACAAAGCAGGAAGTCTGAACAGATCTATACCAAAGCATTAACCAGTAGCCTTGGGCTACTATGTCTGGGGATGGAATTAAGGATGGTTTAAATTTTCCTCTTTGGTTTCTTTGCATTCTGTAGGCTTATGTGAATTCTTCATGATGAACATATAGCACAAATGTAAACTTTTTAAAGTGACAAACAGAATAAAAATATGCCCATTGAGCCATGGCCGGTGCGGCACAGTGGTTAAAATGCTGGCTGTGCACCTATAGGTCTCAGGTTCGATTCCCAGTTAAGGGCATGTACTTGGGTTGTAGGTTTGATCCCAAGCCCTGGTCGGGGCACATGTGGGAGGCAACCAATTGATGTGTCTGTCTCACATCAATGTCTGTCTCTCTCCCCCACCCTCCCTCCCACTCTATCTGGAATTCAATAGAAAAAATATCCTCAGGTGAGGATTAACAACAAAAAAAGCCCATTGAGCATATCTGTCTTGATTCTTTTTATTTTACAAATATCATATGTGTCTAAATGCATTATGTGTCAGTAACATTAATTTTATGCCAAAAAGATTAGATGATTTGGGATATTTTTTCTTCCTTATGCATAAATCACACACAAAAAGGTTCTTTAAATCTTATGTTAAGCACACAAACCTGGATGTTCTCTTTCAAAGCGTTGTCCTGTTGCCAGGGTGCAACGGTGGCAGGCATGAAGAAGACAGCCACGGTGCCTTGGATGCTGAGCTCCGTGATGTAGGTAATTTTGATAAGAACTTTAGCCTTGGGGGGTAAGTTTCCAACACTTACAGTAAAGACATCCTGAGACAGAAATATGTGACTTAGCTTGTGACTCAAATGCACACCCACTCTATGTTAGTTAACTCTGTTACATGAACTACTAGAACTTCAAACTGTCAGATTCTTCTTCAAAAAATTAAGTCAAGCCCTGGTGGTGCTCAAGGGGACTCGGAGCCATTCCCTAGTGGTGTGACGTCTACAGGAGCACAGGGGGAGGAAGCCCCTTGGCAGCAGGACCCTGCCCGGACAACAGTGTCACCCAGTGGCCAGTCTACACCAGAGGCCCCAGGGGCAGGGGCCCCTCCACGCTGTCCTTTCTGGGAGAGCTGAGGAGGTCTCCACTGAGCTTGGCCCTCACGTCATTTTTTCCCCTATAGTAAATCCGTCACTTTATTTTTCAGAAAGAGGTATTTCATTTTCTGACAATGGGATGTTGATAATCACTGCGTAAAGAGACACCTTCATGACTAACCAGGGCAGAAAAAAGAGAGGCTAGATGTATTTTTTCTGATACACAGACAACCTCTTAACCTCCCCAACCAAACCTTCCATTCTCCATGCTGCCATGAAAATATAACCTGTGGGTGGGGAGTGTAGAACACTAATGATTAGAAAGATGTAAGGGACAGGTGATTACTTTTGGCATCAAGGATATCCATTTGCAGGATGGGAATAAACAATGAAGAGACGATAATTAAACAACCAATAGTGTTCACTCTTTTTAAAATGTATTGGGGTGACACTGGTTAATAGATTGTACAGGTTTCAGGTGTACAAGTCTATAATCCATCATCTGTATATCATCTTGTGTGTTCACCACCCCAAATCAGTCTCTTTCTGTCACCATAGAGGTCACCCTGTTACCCTCTCCTACCTCCCCCTACCCCCTCTCCCTCAGCAACCACCACACTGTTTGCCCTTAGAGAGGTGACGGAAGCCGGGGGCTCATCTGAGGGACTGCCACTGGGTCATGTGGGATTGTAGTGCTGCTTCTGTGCAGGACATACAACACAGATGACAGATGTCACTTCCATTATAACAAGTCAGAGAGTCTGTGAAATTGTATAGACATAAACTATTATTTTTCTGATACTTAGGAACACTGTACATATAAAAATGTATATTACTATATTATATTATCCCATATAATGTTATATACAGTATCCCATACAATAGTATATATTCATAACAACTATATGTTATATATGTAACATATAGTGCTATATATGGTATATATAGTGCTATATATGTAATATGTTCCTAACTATCAGAAGACTAAAAAATATATAATATATCCAGAGTGGGTCAAAAGTAGATTTACAGATGTTCATATAAAAAATAATAAAATAATTAATAGTCCTGGCTGGTTTGACTCAGCAGTTAGAGTGTCGGCCGGCAGACTGAAGGGCAGAGGGTTTGATTCCTGGTCAAGGGCATGAACCTGGGTTGTAGGTTTGGTCCCCAGCCCCGGTCGGGGTCATGCAGGAGACAATGGATAGATATTTCTCTCTCATATCAATCTTTCTCTCTCTCCCCACTTCCTCGCTCTAAAATCAATATTTTTAAAAATGAAGCAATGTGGAAAAGAATTCATATTTATTCGCAGGGCTAAGATCCATGCATCGATGCTGAAGCAGCAACATGATAGCCTCATGGTGGCCAGTGCAATCGCTTCACGGCAGCCTGGCCACACACTGCTGGATGAGCCGCGTGAAATCTATTTCACGTACAGCAATATAGTCATATTCATAAGACAGTATTAGAGATTTTGTCACACTTTTTAAAAAACCTCTTCCTGCCTGGCTGGTGTGGCTCAGTGAACTGAGCGTCATCCCATGGACTGAGAGGTCCTGGTTCAAGTCCCGGTCAGGCCACATACCCGGGTTGTGGGCTCCATCCCCAGTAGGAGGCATGCAGGAGGCAGCCAATGGATGTTTCTCACATCAATGTTACTATCTCTCTCTTAAAAAAACAACAACAAAAACTCAATAAAAAACATTTAAAAACAAAAACAAAAAAAGTTACCTGCCCAGGCTGGTTTGGCTCAGTAAGTTAGAGCATCTACCAGCAGACCAAAGGGTCACAGGTTCTATTCCTGGTCAAGGGCACATACGTGGGTTGCAGGTTTAATCCCTTGCCTCAGTTGGGGGCATGCTGTCTCTCTCACATCAATATTTCTTTCTCTCTCTCTCCCCCTCCCTCCTTTCTACTCTATCTAACATAAATCAATGGAAAAATATCCTCAGGTGAGGAGTAACAAAAACAAAACAAGACAAAACAAAAATATAGTTCCCTGTGACAGGCTGATATGCAGTTTCTCAGATTACGAGAGGTGTACTATACAGCAATGTAATTCTTTAAAAGCCAACTGATAAAACAGGAAGAAAACAATCACATGATTAACTTTACATGAAGTGTCACTAACCACATGCCTATGTAAAGACAGGCTATCTCCTCATCCTCAGCTTGCACATGGTGCTCTGCCCGATGGACACTGCAGCGATGACAGACATGAGCACGTCTCATGGTTGTGGCCTATAGGGTTAGATTTTCACCGAAGACACACACACACACAGCAAACAGCTTTATTGATTGCACCACTTGTGATTATTTACTGTTCATTAAGTGGAAGTGGGTCATCACGAAGGTTTTTATCCTCATCGTCTTCGCGCTGAGCAGGCTGAGGAGGAGAAGGGGACAGAAGGCCGAGAAGGTGGAAGGAGATGTAGGCACATGGGTGCAACTTTAAGGAAATACATCATAATTTCTGTCTGACTTTTTAGAGGAGGGGGAAGCAGAAACATCAATGTGTTGTTCCACTATTTATGCGTCACTGGGTGCTTCCTGCAGGTGTCCTGAAGAACGGACCTGCAACCTTGGTGGATCGGGATGATGTTCTAACCCAGAGAGTCACCTAGCCAGAGCTTCTTGCTTTTTCATTTCACTAAAACTGCTTCTGCACAGTCCCAATCCTCCTTCACTGTCTGCTTTACTTTCTGTCTGCATCATAGACGGGTCCATGTCGTAAACAAGTCAAAAGCAGTCATGAGTAATTGGAATCCTTCTGCCAGACTAATTTTACTGTTTGTGGGCAATGCTTCTTCTACATGTTCTTCCTCACATCTGGCTCTGGTTCAGAAGGACTCATCTCCGTCAGGTCATCTTCTGTGAAATCCTCCAGTGTGGTGTCTGTTAGTTCTTCAATTTCTTGCAGATCTGCATCTTGAGACCCTTCACCACTCATCTTGTGTGTGTGTGTGTGTGTGTGTGTGTGTGTGTGTGTCACGTGCCCCGAGCGGGAACCAAACCGGGGACTCTCTGGTCCGCAGGCCAACGCTCAACTGCTGAGCCAAACTGGCCAGGGCATCTTTTTTTTTTTTTTTAAATCCTCACCTTAGGACATGCTTAGAGAGAGGAAGGGCGGGTGAAGGGGAGAGAGGGGAACAACGATGTGAGAGAGAAACATGGATCAGTTGCCTTCCATATTCCCCCCAACCAGGGATCAAACCTGTAACCCAGGTATGTACTCTGACAGGAATCGAACTGGCAACCTTTCGGTGCACAGGAGACACTCAACCAGCTGAGCCACTCTGCTGGGCACCACCCTCCTTTTTTGCCATGTCCAGTCTTCCGTGGTTCCCTTGAATGACTCCATCGTATAGCCTGTGAAGTCCCACACAGCATCTAGATAGAGTTCCTCCCATGAGGAACTTACTGTTTGGGGCTTGATGGCTTTCACAGCTTTTCCCGTAACAAGGACCCATCTTCAGTAGTGTAATCCTTCCAGACTTCCATGATGTTGTGGCTACTGGGGTTCTCTTCCACAGTGTTGACAACCTTTTCCATAGAGACCATGTGTAATGAGCCTTAAAGGTCCCTGTGAGCCCTGATCTGGAGGCTGACTTAGGGACAGTTTGTCTGGGACAAGGAAACCACTTTGACACCTGCTGAACGCATGGGGTTCTGAGTGGCCAAGGGCATTGTCCAATGTCAAAAGGACTTAAAAGGCAGCTCCTTTGTCACTGAAGCAAGGTACTTCCCAACCTCAGGGACAGGGCGGTGGAGCTGACCCAGAGAAAGCACGCTCCTTGTCCAGGACGTCCTTCTCTTGTAAACCCAGCGCTGGCCATTGGGTCCATCCCCCGCAAGGCTCGGGGGTGAGCCGCTCTATGACAAGGGCAGTGCTCATCGTAAACCCAAAGGCGTCTGCACAGAGCAGTGCAGTCAACCTGTCACTTCCTCAAGTCCTGGTGTTCACTCGCTTCTCTTCCATATATGTTATGCACTCATGGCATATCTAAGTTTTTCTTAATTTTTTCTATACTTCTAGGTTATATGGTTACTCTGTGAGTTTCTTCAAATTGTCACAAGCCTCCAAATTTTTTAAAAATATATTTACTAAAAACTAAAATCCACATACAAGTGGACCTACACCGTTCAAAGTTTAAGGGTCAACTGTAAAATAATATGTAATATGAATATATTATATATTATTATGTTATTAAAATAACATAGTATGAGAACATTATATAGTAGTCACTGGATGGCAAAATACATTCTAGGGTACCCAAAGGCTTGGGTTGGCAATGGTCTGACCAGACTTCACTCTAAGTAATATCCTTTGTAAAGACTTTTTTTTGGGGGGTCATATTCCTAGGGAAACACGTTAGCATCAAGGCGGAAATATGCAGACCAATTCACTTATGACAACAGCCCTACACTGCTCAGTGGCAGCCTGTCAAATGAAGCAAGGCTTTTTAAATACATGCAATTCAGCATGGGGACTGTAACTGGTTAACAATGACGTGCTTACCCCCCGTTCTGCAAATGGATATCTCTGATGTCAAAGTAATCATTTATCCCTTAAATCTGTATTACTCTTAATAATGCTCCCTTCCAAACATCACATTCTCATACTACTACAGCAATGTGTCATACTCAGAGGTGAAACCTGAAACCTAAGCCTATCTTTAAAAACAACTAGACATCTGAACTAGAGACAGTAGTTAGAAACTGACTGCTTGAAATCTAGGCAATCCAAGGGCACATTCAAAACATCTTCTATAAGAAGAGAAACCCAGTGGACACAATAGTTGTTCCTTCTTCCAGATTCTCCACATTTAATTCCTCTGAAAGCGAATAATCGGAACAAACAGACCTGGGCATACCTCAGGACCCTGCAGAAATGCCTCCCTGGGTTATGATTTGGTGAAAATAGAATAAATTGCTGGGTGAGTTTAATTCCAGGAAACACATAAATATATTACACGCTTTTATCAGAAGGTAAAGATTATGTATCCCAAATGTTTTGTTTTTGTTTTCACTTCTGGGAAACTTCTGGGAAACTCAGTCACCAATGACAGAGATGGTCTTACTTGTTTGGTCACATTATTTAGATAAGTCTGAGGGTCTGACCAGCTTGACCCCCCCCCCCCCCCCCCCGCTAATAGCAAGTGAAAGCCTAGAGCCAAAATAATTTAAATTATCCTAGTTCCTAGTCTGAATCTTATATTTCAAATAATTTCCAACTCCTCTTCCCTTTCTCATAAGTGTGCTAGAACACAGGGTTCATGTCCAGCCTCACCGGTGCATCCTGGTCCATCAGGTAGGCGCCATGGCCTTGACTTAGGGCTTCGCGGTACTCCCGGTGGGCAGTCTCCTTCTCTTTGATCTGGAAAAGATGATTTTTATACCAGTCATAATATGAATAGTGATTTCAGACTTTACTAAGAAAAATTTCATCATTAGAACTTATGCATAAAGAGCCCTGGCCAGTTTGGCTCAGCAGTTAGAGCATCAGCCTGCGGACCAGAGAGATCGGGTTTGGTTCCCGCTAAGGGCACGTACCTTGGTTGCAGTTTGTCCCCGGCCCTGGTTGGTCATGCGGGTGACAGCCACTCGATGTGTCCCTTTCACGTCGATGTTTCTCTCTCTCTCTCTCTCTCTCTCTCTCTCTTTCTCTCTCTCCCTCCCACTCCATCTGAACAAAAAATAGAAAAATGTCCTCAGGTGAAGATAAAAAAAAAAAAGAACTTATGCATAAAGAGACTGTCTAAGATAAATAGAAATACATAAAATGATCATCAAGGATCATTCTCTCTCTCTCTCTCTTTTTTTCTTTTGTTAATCCTCGCCTGAAAATATTTTTTCCATTTATTTTTAGAGAGTGAAAGGGGGGGAGGGAGGGAGAAAGGGGGAGAGAAAGAGAAAGAGAGAGAAACTCTAATATGAGAGAGACACACTGATTAGTTGCCTCCACATTTGCCGTGACCCAGGACGGCAATCAAACCTGCAACCCAGGTATGTGCCCTTGACTGGGAATCAAACCTGTGACCCTTTGGTGCTCAAGCCAAAGCTCTAACCACTGATCCACTCCAGCCAGGGCAGAGGATCAGTTTTTACAAAAATATATAAGGGTTTCACCAATTTTCCAATGTGCCTCCCTTAAATTTTTGATATTGAGATCACTCTTTCTTGAAGTGCCCAGACAAACAATTTACAAGGCACTGACCAATGAAGAATAAACAGGTAGGTACAAAAACGAGGTAATCAGGGAGGGATTTTTGAATGGAGGCTAACTGTATAAATACTTAGTTCTTCAAAGAATACTTTTGTTTTATGATAAGGCTGCTACTCAGCTCCACACTGTAGGGACTCCATACTGAAGATTCAGGTAAATGGGAAATTGACTTGAGAACCAGAGAGCAGTCGCAATGCATTTCCTCCTCACCTCTCCCACTAGGTGCTTCCCGTTGATGAACACTTCAAAACCACACACTGCTGCCTTATCATCCAAAGGAAAAATGTACTTTGCCTCGATGGGTGTAGGGCTCTGATTTGTGTATGTCTGAAAAACAATGACCTGAAGAAGAAAAAACATCCATGAACTTGATGAAACCATATGGTACAACCATTTGCAGAACAACTATGAATGAAAACTATTATGCATATATTTTTCGTATGATTGGGCATTCAAAAAGTAATTTTAGATAACATTGATAAAAGTATTTTTACCAGGACTTAGAGCTAATATATTGAACACATTTTTTACATCTTTTCCTTCATCAGATGAAACCATTATATAAGTAAACTGAAAACTTGGAACTCATTCCAAGAAGAGTCAATGTGCCAGCCATTGAAGACACAAGGTCTCTGCAGCTAGACTTCTGCCTGGAGATGCAAGGTCAACTTATGGCCAGCTGTCCCATCACAAAGTAGTGAAAAAGCCACCGCTACATCATGAGTTAATTTTGGGGCAAACTTCCCCCAGGAAAAAACCCTTATGAGGTTGGAAATATCAGATGGGACAAGTCACAGTCATCATTTGTTTTGTGTCTACTGTATGTGAAAAAAATGCCCTGGGTTCTTGCATCTAATAGTCACAACAATGACTTGCAGATGCTATTATTTCCATTTTATACACGAGGAAACTGAGGCACACAGTAGTGAAATCACTTCCCCAAGGTCGCAGTGCTAGAAAGGAACGAGCAGGGATTCACAGCTAAGCGTCTCAAACTCCAAATCCCTTGCTTTCTCCAGTCCACCCCAGGCTGCATTATAGCATGGTGGTTAAGAACCCGGACTCTGGAAGGAATTCAGGCTGATGACAGGGTTCTACCTCAGGGAAAGGATGGACCATCTCAAATTCACCCAGTGTCTTTTCACTCTTTCCCACCCAATCCATTTCAAACAACTGTTACGGCCCAGAGTTACACCAGCACTCAGTCTTCCATGTACAACACTTGCACCAACATTTAAACAATGATCAGTTGTTTACACCTTAGCAAAAATATAGTCTGGACTCTAGAATCAGTTCAATTTGTGCTTTACCATATCATTTTACATCTCTGAGCACCAGCATCCTCACCTAAGGTGGGTGTGGATCCCAGTGGGGCCAGTGAAAAGGTTAGGTAGATGTGAACTGGTACACATTTGGGAAGCATGCTCTGCCCACCACACTACACCCCTTTTCCCCAGGTTAGAGCAATCACTAAATTCAACTTAATTTCCTTCTGAAGGGACAGCAATACCACAGCTCTGGACTCAGGTGTTCTTATTCTCCTAAGAGGTCTTTAGAGTTGTTCAAGGTCATCTTTAGTGTTAGAAGCCAATGGTGTGGTCAACTCTTAGAAAACAAATAGTTTTAGAAAACAGAATGCTTTCGAAGCTCCACCACCACGTCTGGCCAAACTACGTACATGGGAAGTCATGCTCGACTCCTGTCTTTCTCTCATGCTCCATATCCATCAGCAAACCATTGGTTCTACCTTCAGTCCTCTGCCAAACCCAATCACTTCTTACCATCCCCACTACTAACATTTTGGTCCAAGTCACCATCACCCTTGACTGAATTACTCAACAGGCACTACACTTGATGCTATGGTGTGCCCCAGATGTCCTTTCAGGACCAAGGCTGCAGGGAGTGCTAGCTGCCGAGTACCTCTCATCAATGTCCTCTCCAAAGATGACCTGCCTCATTCAGGTAATGACCACACCCCAGGGGCAGCACCATCCAATGGCTGGTCCCTGTGGGCTACACGGCCTGCCCCCTGCATCGCATCAGAAGCCTCTGAAAGGCCAGCATGCCAGTGTCCCAGTCCATGTGTCCTTCTGCCAGGGTCTGCCTCCTGCGCTCTTTTACGGGTGTCGCTCCAGAGAGCGATTCCCAACAAGCATTCTGAAAACAGATTTCCATCAGGAGTCTGTTTCCCAGAGAACCTGACCTAAGACATCTCTCACTGGGCCTCGTCAGTCTATTGTCAACATGGTGGCCAGTGTGCTTCCAATCATATCCTCTGCCAAACATCTTTTAGAGGTTCCCATTTTGCTCAGAGTTAAAGATAGCATGTCCTGCCTCCGAATGTGAGCTGCTCTCCCCCAACCTAACTCTCTGACCTCGCCTCCTCCATGCTTCCTCAATCCATGCTGCTCCAAACACTCTTCGGGTCCCTTGACCATATCAGGCTCACTCCAACCTCAGGTCCTTTGCATGGGCTGCCTCCTCTGCCTGGAGTGAGCACCCCTCAGAGGTCCACATGGTTTAGTCCCTCACTTCCTACACATCTGTACTCAGCTATCACCACAGTGAGGCCTTCCTTGGCCATCCAACTTCCAATGTGAAATCCTTCCAACCTGCACAGCTCCCACACCTTCCCACTTCGATTTTGTGTCTATCACCTACCACCATCTAACATAGTAGGCATTTTGTTTATTGACCTTGTTTGTTGCCTGGCTCCCCAGTGCAATGGGTGCTCTGTGAGGGCAGATTTTTCATATCATTTCATGCCGTATGCCCAGAGCCTAGAACAGTCCCCAGCTGTAGTAGGTCCTCAATGAATAAACAAATTTTAGAAATATACATGAGTTCATGCAACTGTAATTCAACTCTCATTCATGATTGACATCCCTTTGGTTTAAGTATTGTAAAAACACAAAGAGCTCACCTGGGCCACAAAGTCTATTATTTTCCCCTTGATATGCAGGTCTTCAAGGGGAACTAAATTTCCAGAGATGTCCTGGAGGCCGGCCTGGATGTTACTGGAAAGTCTGGTATCTGGTAACTGGTAATCTATACATTAAAAATATTAATATTAGCTTTTAAAACCATCCTTGCACTCTCCATTTTTGTTACCTTGATCTTTATATCTTTTCCTCCCCTTCATACATGATATTTTAGGAGAAATGGACAAACTTCATTCTGTGACTTTCAGTAGCCAATTCTGAAGAGTCAGTGACTCCACATGAAAAGAATGGGGGTAGCGTCGGCAACAGACACTCTGCCTTCTAAATCCACAGACGCCGAGAGATTGGCTTGAAGCCCCGAGTCACACCACCATCTGAAAGGCACACATTGAAGCATCCACAAAGTAATGAAGATCTTAAGGACATCTGAATACAAGCATCTTAGGCCAACTCTAGATATCTGTACTCCTGGGCTTGTACTTTTGAACTAGTCACTATTATTTATTGTGCTACAAAAGCATGTTGGCAAAATCTGAGAATCCCTAGACTTTTTGTTGTTGTTAATCCTCACCTGAGGATGTGTTTTCCATTCATTTTTAGAAAGAGTGGAAGGTAGGGAGAAGGGGAAGAGAGAGAGAGAGGAACACTGATGTTTCTCTCATTACACATCAGTTGGTTGCCTCCAGCATGTGCCTTGACAGGCCAGGGATCCAACTGAATGACACTCTAACCACTGAGCAACACTAGCAAGGGTAAGATTTCCCAGACTTTTGATCTGAGGAAGACTAGATCAAACTCTTAATACAGCATATTGAAAAAAAATGTTCACATACTATATTAAGTAGTACAAAAATACTACTTAGAGGTATAAATATATACTCTTCCCACAATCATCATTTAAAGACCCCAGAGAAATAATCGGAGTATTCTTCCTGAATACACAGGAAGCCAAACATAGGTTTAAAGTGTACAGTTTTGTAATACAGCATCTGTGCGTTACATTGCATGTTCACCACCTAGAGCAAGTCCCATTCCAGCACCATTCACCACCCTTCCACCTTTAAACACGGCATCAAAGTGCGTTGTAAATGGCCAATTCTGAATCCTTCACAAGCACGCTCGACTCTGGTTCTTTTGATTAAACTGTTTCCTACAGTTTACCTTCTGTTTCCAAACATAAGACATTTTCCTTGATCTACAATATGTTAACTCTCAAAAAGCAGGGACCATTATTCACCCTCCATTTTTGCTACCATTTCTGCCATTCCTAATAACCACATTCTAACATGAAAACTCCTCCTTCAGGGTCCTGGCCTGCTCTGTTTCATGGTCACCTGATGGAGTAATCCTTTCCTCTGATCATCCACAGAGACCCTCAGTCATACCAACAAATCTAGGGAAGAGGCTGTCACCACAAAATGCACTATGATTTAGCTAATAGTTTTACATTTATGCTTTGCCACTCCCCAGATTCTCAAATTTACACCATATTGTATCTTAAAATCAGTGTTTTAATTTTTCCAGGTTACACGGATCTGAATAAACTCCACCTGGTAAAGTAGGTCCTTCCATCCCTGACCCTGAGACTATCATTGAGAAATGAAAAGCATGTAATAAAAGCGTAACATCACCAGATCTCAAACTTCACGCTGTAAGTCATCACTGCAGCGTAGCCTTTGCAAGAAGCCTCAAATAACTGGAAAGCACTGTACAAACTGAAGATGATTAGACCTTTCCACAAACTTCCTTGCTCCTTTGACAGACAACATTCTCATGAGTTTAAAATAATTTCAACTTTTAATTATCTGTGGACTTTAATATCTGATATTGGTTAATCCTCAAGAGCAATTAATATAAATTCTCTTGTGTCATTCATTGAGAGAACTGATTAAACATATCGCCTTCATCACATATGTAATGTTTCTGTGCAATAGGAATTCTTTGCCATACCCAGGTCATTGCTAAGGGCCCTAACATATGTGTATGGTTTCAATCATATATGAATTCTGTCTTGACCACAAAGTTGCACATTTTTTATACAGTTGATCACACTCAATACATTTGTAAGTTTTCTCCCAGGTAAGAATTCTGTTATGCTCCATGAGGCTTAAAGCTCGCCAAGCCTGCCATACCTCTGTCTGCTTTCTCTGAAAGACGTGTGTTCTGATATCCAGTGAGGTGTGAGCCCTGGCGATAGGCTTTGCCTCACACACACGCTACACATGGTTTCTCTCCACGATGGAGTCTCTGACGTTGAGTAAGGCTTCAGCACTTGCACAGGTTTTATCTCAATAAAATTCCTTCTACTTGAATTCGTCGATGTTCCCCAAAGCTTGAGCCTTGGAGAGAAGCACTGCCACGTAAATCGGGTTTATAATGTTTCTATTTCGTGTGCATTTGTGAGGCATCTCTCCAGTGTGGGTTTTCTGATGTTGACCTCTGTCTAAAGTTTTTACTGCACTCAATACATTTTTCAGTTTTCTCTCCTACATAGATTCTCACATGACTCCAAAGTTGTGAATGTCTAGAAAAAACTTTCTCATATTTCTTTCATTTATAAGGTTTTCTCCTGTATGAGTTCCTCGATGATCCAGAAGGCCTTTATGTTTAATAAAAGCCTCATCACACAATTACATTTATGTGGTTTCTCTCCAGTATGTATTCTCTCACAAATCCAAAGTTGTGAATATCGAAAAGAAAACCTTCCCACACTCACTGCATTGCTACGGGTTCGCTGGTGAACTGCAAGGCATGAATGTCCACCACATGACTTCCACGCACGCTGCAATTACACGGCATCTCCCTGGGTGGTCTCCGGACGTGCGCAAGGTGTGAGCACTGACTACAAGCTCTGCCACTCGCTGTCTGTAAGGTCTCTGTCCAGAGTGAACTGTCTCTTGATACCTGATGCTTGAGCGTTTGCTGAAAGTCTTCCCACAGTCCTTTCATTGGTAAGAATTTTCCCTAACGTGTGTTCTTCTGTACCATATAGGTAACAATAAATCTTTTTTTTTTTTTAATCCTCACCCGAGGACATTTTTCCATTTTTTTGTACAGATAGAGTGGGAGGGAGAGAGAAAGAGAAACATCGACGTGAAGGGACACATCGAGTGGCTGCCACCCGCACGACCAACCAGGGCCGGGGACAAACTGCAACCGAGGTACATGCCCTTAGCGGGAACCGAACCCGGGTCTCTCCGGACCGCAGGCCGACGCTCTAACCGCTGAGCCAAACTGGCCAGGGCGGTAACAATAAATCTTTTAAAATCGTTCTACATTTATTAGAAATGTTTTGAGTCTGAGGAAAAAATCTGAAGTGGTGACACGGAGGAACGAGCACTAGCAGATTTCCGAGGTGACTGCAGCCACAGGTTTCTCCTCGCTGTGAACCAGCTGCGCTCAGCAAGCTGCACCTGCAAATGGAGCCCAACCTGCTTTCCAAGTACTTCATAGACACGTTTCCTGCATCATGTTAGTTTTAACTAATTCCTTGTACATGGCTTGGCATGCATAAAATATTGGTGTGCATTATTTCTTACAAAAACACTGTGTTTTGAGGAAAATTTATTGAGGGTTTATGATGTTGATCTTTTGTACAGCTGAAACTTTTGCTACAGAGAAAAGGCACCCTCTGTAATTTCCCACATCGTATTACCACTCGCTCTCAAACTCATGCATATTCTCCCAGAGGTGGACACCCTTGGTGCCATGTTCATATCTTTCCAACATCAATGGGTTGAATGATTCTCCTCTGTTCATTTCCACCTGGTAACAGTTACTATAACAAAACCCAGCAGGACATCTTCCTGTAAAACCGCCCTTCCTTCCTGACTCTCCTCTTCCTGGGGCTTTTGGTCAGGTAAGAGTATTCTGACTGCCAGTTTCTCCCCACCCTGAAGTCGTAAGTTTCTGATAAAAAAGACGTTGATCACAGTTAAAAATGTCTGTGTTTTTACAATGCTATAATAAACACAGTGGTTGGGGCTTATGATTTCCTAGGAAGCTTGCATCCCCTACTTATCTGCACTACTGCTGTGTGAGGGGCAGGACGCAAAGTGGGGCGTCCACACTTGTCCCGAGCAGTCCTCTCAGCAGCACTGTGGGGTGGCCACTGGTCTCAGGCCCCAGAGAGGCTGATGCCTGGGGACATGAGGTGCTTTGTCACAGATCGCAGATCGCACAGCCTGGTGAGCAAACCCAAGCTCCCGATTCCAAAGCTGAGCCTTCTGCCTGTCCCACCAGCCTCCACCACACCTGCTGCGCACTGACATCTTATGTGTCAGTGGGTTTTCGTGATTAGCCTGAGGTGGATGAGCTCAACGTTGGTGTGTCAGTGAAGTAACGTAATTCTGGGATCCCTTAAACTCTCTCAAGCATCCTGGTTTTCATTTTTACAAAATAAAAAAGGAAATGAAACATTTATATCTGAGGCCATATGTATAGTTACCAAACATGAATATACATTCCATGGAAAATATAATATTGAGTTTTATAAATAGCATATGAAACAGCATTCAAGAAAATTGTCTTACCTTCAACCTTTGAAAAACCTGAAACCTCAGGTGTGTGTTCCTCTAAGTCAACATTATTACAAGAATGAAAGTCCTTTACTTCATCCCCAGGTATGCAAAATTTAATAATATATTTCATTTTAACCTGACTGGTTTTATAGACCACAAATTCATCATCCTAAAACAAACAGAAACAGGTGGAAAAAACCATTATTGGCACGTTTTCATAAAAGCAAAGTTTCGTGTTTGCTAGTTTCTGAATATGAAAATATTGAATTCAGACACTAGATAAACAATAATTATTTAAACTTCAGCATATTTAGTAAACACAGGAGTCTCTCTGCCTGTTTCTTGATACAAATACCTCAAAGTCTGTGGTGACAGTGGCTGTTTTAGGAACCCCATGGACACTGTCATGACCAGGTGGCGCTTCTGCCAAGGAGGGGTCTTTCTTGTAAAAGTCCATGCACTTCCCAAGGGCGACATCACAAATGGCCAAGAGTCTGGTGCCGTCTGTCCCTCCCGGGTGTGAGTACTTAATACTTGTACTGCATGTGAGAGAAGTAAGTACAAATGTATAGTTCATTGTAACATGGCAATAACATTTTATTATATACATAGAAGATAGTATTTGAAAAGACCTTGCTAGTAGATCATTCCAAATTTTACTGTTATTAAAATATCTCTGAAGATTCATTTAGAATTTCATTGTTCATTTATTTATTTAACAATCCGATGTGACAGACACATACACTGCTCTTCTACTGTGCTAGGCAGTGCTGAAAGCACTGTGTTCCCAGGGGAAGAATTCCACTGTTCCCAAATCTTCATTAGCTACTAAAATATCCATATTTCAATCCAATAAACACAAGAGTGGTTCAAGAGAAGGACAAAAACACACCTTATTAATTAAGAAAAAGTAGATTAATTCTCTGCACCAAAGCTCAGAAAGGACATTAAATACCAAGTGAGTAAGAACTGATCAAAGGGAAAGACGGGTGCTATATTGTCATGAGTCTTCTGAATCCAAAAGGAAAAACAAAAATTTCCAATCCGCAGTTTTAATAAAAACAGCTTTTACTATGAGGAACACAGATTGGGAAACCTCTATTTTCTCAAAGATCAAGACCAAAATGTAAAACATTGCCTAACGACCATTTGTTCCATCCTCTCTGACTTGTACTTTAAAAAAGATCAATGTCCCCCATTCCTCTTACACACCTGACCCATCTATGGGGTCTTCCTCTCACTACAAACATGCTAACTCCTTCCCATGGAACCTGGACCTGGACTTAGCCCTCTGGCCCTCTCCCGATTGCTCCCTCACTGCCCCCACCCTTCCCACCACCCACCACAGAGTCTGTGACCACTCTCCTGGCTTGTTTGCTGACCACTTCTCAATCCACTGCAGTTGGCTCTGTTCATACATCTTCACTGAAACCATTCTGTCGAAAGTCATCAAGAACTTCAATTTGGTTCAATTCGTTTGAATGCCAATTAATTTTTTAATACAATTTCTTTATTATTTTTTAATTGTAAAAATCCAATTAAAAATGGGCAGAGGAACCCTAGCTGGTGTGACTCAGTTGGTTTGGGCATCGTCCAGTGTACCGAGAGTCCACCAGTTCGATTCCAGGTAAAGGGCACATACCCGGGTTTCAGGCTCCATCCCCAATAGGGGGCATGCAGGAGGCAGCTGGTTGATGGTTCTCTCTCATCGTTGTTTCTCTCTGTGTGTCCCTTTCTCTTCCTCTCTCTCTCTCTGAAAATCAATTTAAAAAATATTTAAAACAAAAGGGCTGAGGACCTGAATAGACACTTCTCCAAAGAGGGCATAAGGCAGTTCCATTTTTTATTTTTTTGAAGAACCTCCACTCTGTTTCCCAAAGTGGTGCTCCAGTCTGCATTCCCATCAACAGTGCATGAGGGTTCCCTTTTCTCCACATCCTCACCAACATTTGTTTGTTGATGTATATTGATGACAGCCATTCAGTAGGTTGTCTGTTCATTTTGTTGGTGGGTTCCTTTACTGTGCAAAACTTTGTAGTGTGACATAGTCCCATTTGTTTATTTTCTTTTGTTTCCCTTACTCAAGGAGATATATAAGAAAAAATATTTCTAAGAGAAATGCCAGAGATCTTACTGCCTGTGTTTTCTTCTAGGAGTTTTATGATGTCAGGTCTCACATTTATGTCTTTGATCCATTTTGAGTTTATTCTTGCATATGGTGTAAGAAAGTGGTCTGGTTTCATTTTTTTGCATGTTATCTGCCCAGTTTTCACAGCTTGTTTGCTGACCACTTCTTGAGCCACTGCAAATCGGCTCTGTTCATAGTCTTCACCAAAACCACTCTGTCAAAAGTCACGACGGACTTCAATTTGGTTAAATTCAACTGAATGCCAATTAAATATTTTAAAAATATTTAAATATCTAATAATTTTCACTTTGAAATATTTTGTACATAAAAGAGCACTTGTAATATAAATGTTAAGTTTCAATAATTATAAGACACCCATATAACTGCCACAATATACATGAAGCACTTAGCCAGTGCTTAGCACAGGGCAGGTATGAAATACACTATGGCTATTATGAGGACAGATTTAATTATTAACAAGGATACTGAAGATAAAACAGCCCTGGCCGGTTTGGCTCAGCGGTTAGAGCGTCGGCCTGCGGTCCGGAGAGACCCGGGTTCGGTTCCCGCTAAGGGCATGTACCTTGGTTGCAGTTTGTCCCCAGCCCTGGTTGGGTCATGTGGGTGGCGACCACTCGATGTGTCGCTTTCACGTCGATGTTTCTCTCTCTCTCTCTCCCTCTCACTCTATCTGAACAAAATATCGAAAAATGTCCTCGGGTGAGGATAAAAAAAAACAAACACAAAAACAAAAAAAAAACATTATTCCAGGTATATGGAGTTCATATAAAATAAACTGTTTAGAAGAGAGGTCATGTGCTGTAGAAGTCAAGATTCCTGGCTCAGGAGAAAGACAAAATACTGTGTGGCTATGGGCAAGACACCCTCCCTGCCCTGTGTTCTCCCTGTGATAAGATGATGACAATGAGACAATCGGGATCAAGGAGTTGTCTAAGGATTAAGAGGGCACATATGTGTAAAAGATCTTAAGGCAGAAAAATCACTAAGATGATTTCAAATACAATTTTCCTACTATCCACCACAAAAGACATGCTCGCACGTGCTTCTACCGTATGTGCTTACACTGTACATGCTTACACTGCATGTGCTTATGCTGTACATGCTTACACTGCTCATGCTTACACTGTACATGCTTACACTGTACATGTTTACATTGCACAAGCTTACACTGTACATGCTTACATTATACGTGCTTCCACTGTACATGCTTCTACTATACACGCCTACACTGGCTGCTCTCCATGCCCTGTTTTTTTCTTTTCTTTTTTTTTAAGATTTCATGAATTTTTAAAATTAAATTCATTGGGGTGACATTGGTTAATAAAATTATATAGGCTTCAGGTGTACAGTTCTATGGTACATCATCTGTATATTGTGTTGTGTGTTCACCACCCCAAGTCAAGCCTCCTTCCATCACCATTTATCCCCCATTTACCCTTTTATACCTGCCCTACCACCTTTCCTTCCAGTAATCACCATACTGTTATCTGTGTCTATGAGTTTTTGTTTGTTTGTCATATTTGTTCATCGGTTGCTTTCAGTTTTATATCCCATATGTGAGTGAAATCACGGTTCTTAACTTCTTCCGTCTGACTTTTGTTGCTTAGCATGATATTCTCAAGATCATTCATATTGTTGCAAATTGCGGTATTTCATCCCTTCTAATGGCTGAGTAGTATTCAATTGTATATATGTACCACATCTTCTTTATCCAGTCGTCTGTCTAAGGACTTTTTGGTTGTCTCCATACCTTGGCTACCATGAATAATGCTGCAATGAACATAGGGGTGCATATATCTTTGTGAATAAATGTTTTCAAATTTTTCAAGTACATACCCAGAAGAAGGGTTGCTGAGTCATATGATAACTATTCTTAATTTTTTGAGGAGCCTCCATACTGTTTTCCATAGTGGCTGTACCAGTTTACATTCCCACCAGCAGTGAATGAGGGTTCCTTTTTCTGCACAATCTTTCTAACACTTATCATTACCTGTCTTGTTGATAATAGCCATTATAACAGGTGTGAAGTGGTATCTCATTGTAGTTTTGATTTGCATTTCCCTAATAGCTAGTGAAGTTGAGCATCTTTTTATACATTTTTTGGCCATCTGTATGTCTTCTTGGGAGAAATGTCTGTTCAGGTCTTCTGCCCAATTTTTAACTGGACTGCTTTTTTGGTGTTGAATTGTATGTGTTCTTTATATATATTGAATATTAAGCCCTTGTCGGATCTATTGTTTGCAAATATCTTCTCTCATTCGATTGGTTGCCTTTTTTTTATTGGCAGTTTCTCTTGCTGTGCAGAAGTTTTTAGTTTGAGAAATAAATGAGTTACCTATTTCCTGAGTGAGAAATTCCTCACCAGGGTAAGACAGAAAAAAGCACACAGCAAGCATTCAGCAATGATTCCCTGATAATGGGTATGAGTAACACGATTAAGGATATAATCATACGAACCTGAGTGAATTGCTGAAATATATACCACTCCCAAGATTTCCAATGTCTGTTCTTTTCACACCACGATCTTCAACTACTTTGGGCAAAAGCAACCCCCTAAAAAGAAAAGGGCATTATAATGTTTACTAGAAAATAATAAATTTTTTATTATAGCCTCATAATTCTAGCAGAGGCAGGTGCTATTTAAAGGGTATTACACAAAGTCAAGTAAGCCAGACACAGAAATACTGTATGACCTTCTTATATGTGAAATCTTAAAAAGTCGAGTTCATAGGACTTCTAGTCAAGATGACAGCATAGGTAAACGTGGTATCACCTCCTCCCACAACCACATCAAAATAACAACTAAACTACAGAACAATCATCATTCAGAACTGCCTAAAATCAAGCTGAATGGAAGTCCTACAACTACAGAATTAAAGAAGCTACATCAAAACTGGTAGGAGGAACAGAGGCCCAGACAGGGTGGTCCTACACCCATGTGTGTTGGATAAAAACTAGGAGATACCTAGGCTGTGAAGGTCCTCCTGAGGAGCAAGGGGTCCCTGTCACACACCAGGCCCCCAGCTCAGGGTTTCAGTGCCAGGAAGAGAAGTCCCATAAATTCTGGCTGTAAAAGCCAGCAGGAATTGAGGCTGAGGGAGGCTGAGGCTGCTAGAGTCCAAAGACATATGGGGAAGAACTGAGTTTTCTGGACAGATGTGCTGGTGGAGGCTGTTGTTCCTTTGTTGAGCCCTACCCCATGGGGCCAGCAGACAGGTGCCACATCTGGGACTCTAGCAACCTGGCATCCACTGTTCGCCCCGCCCTGGTGCTTCCCTGAGGCCCTGCCCCACTCAACTTTCAGGCCCATCCAAGTTGTTTCCAGTGGCTTTACCATAGGAATGGCCTCCCTGGGCTCATGCTTCGTATTTTCCTAAAATCTCTCAAAGAAGCCGCAGCTTGCCTCAGCGAACCCCATACCTCTCTCTAAGTGGCCCCAGGCTTGGCACCAGCAGCGGCCAGCCTTAGTTCACAGCCTAGCCTCTCCTGGGCACCTCCAAGCCCAGCACAAGAAGCAGCTGAGCACCTCCAAGCCCAGCACAAGAAGCAGCCATCTGTAGATCACTTTGTAGCTTATGCCTGGTGGCCCCAGGTAGAACACAGGCAGTGGCTGGCCTTGCCCCAGAGCCAGCACACCCAGTAGACAGCTTCAGTCCACATCGAAGAACTACAACCCAACCATCTCCACAAACAACACACTCAAAGGTGGACTCAGTAGGCACCAGAGCCCTGCTGAAGTAAGTCTTTCTCTGTGTGGTGGGCCCCTGCACAGCTGATCCTCCAAGGTGGTCAGAGGTTGGTGGTCAGTGTGCACAGCCAGTCCTTGCAGCTGATCAGCCTGAGTAAATCCCTCCTATTTATGTGCCAACAGTAATAAAGACTCAATTACAACAGAAGGGTGTAAAGTACACACTAGAGGTGCACCTCAAGTGCTCAACTGGGGTGATCAGGGAGGCTGTGCCACTGGACCCTACAGGACACCTACTACAATAGGCCACCCTATGAAGCCTAATACATAGAAACAATCTCAGGAAAGCAGCCCAAATGAGGAGACAAATGTCCCAAGTGAAAAAAACAGAACAAAACTCCAGGAAAAGAACTAAACAAAATGGAGATAAGCAATCTAACAGATGCAGAGTCCAAAAAATTGGCTATAAGGATGCTCAAGGAATTAGTGAGAACTTCAAGGAAGTTAATGAGAACTTCAAGGAACTTAGTGAGAACATCAACAACATAAAAAAGGACCAGTCAAAAATAAAGGAGGCACTAACTGAAATAAAAAGTAACCAATAGCCCGGCTGGCGTGGCTCAGTGGTTGAGCATCGACACATGCACCAAGAGGTTGCTGGTTCAACTCCCGGTCAGGGCACATGCCCAGGTTGCGGGCCAAATCCCCAGTTAGGGGTGTGCAGGAGGCAGCCAATCGATGTTCTCTCTCATTGATGCTTCTATCTCTCTCTCCCTCTCCCTTCCTCCCCTTCTAAAATCAATAAAGAAAAAAAATTATTTTAAAGAATAATTTACAGGAAATCAATAGTAGAGTAGGTAAAGCCAAGAAGCAAACCATCAATTTGGAATATAAGGAAGCAAAAAACACTCAATCAGAACAGTAAAAAGAAAATAGAATTAAAAAATGAGGACAGTGTAAGGAGCCTCTGGGACAACTTCAAGTGGACCAACATTCACATCATAGGGGTGCCAGAAGAAGAGAGAGAGCATGAAATTGAAAACCTATTTGAAAAAATAATAACAAAAAACTTCCCTAACTTGGTGAAGGAAATGGACATACAAGTTCAGGAAGCACAGAGTCCCAAACAAGATGAACCCAAAGAGGCCCACACCAAAATACATATCATCAAAATGTAAAAGGTTAAAGACAAAGAGAGATTTTTTTTTTTTAATCCTCACCCAAGGATATTTTTTCAAATATCTTCAGATAGAGTGGGAGGTAGAGAGAGAGAAACATTGATGTGAGAGAGACACACATCAATTAGTTGCTTCCCACACGACCCTGACCAGGGCTGAGGATGAACTGTAACAAAGGTACGTGCCCTTGGCTGAAATCAAACCCGTGACCTTTGGTCCACAGGCTGATGCTCCATACCCTGAGCCAAACCAGCCAGGGCCAAAGAGAAAATCTTAAAAGCAGCAAGAGAGAAGCAGTTCATTACCTATAAGGGAGCTCCCATAACCCTGTCAGCTAATGTCTTAAAAGAAACTTTGCAGGTCAGATTGGACTGGCAAGAAATATTCAAAGTGATGAAAAGTAAGGACCTACAACCAAGATTATTCTATCCTGCAAAGCTATCGCTTAGAATTGATGGATGTATAAAGATCTTCCAAGACAAGAAGCAGCTAAAGGAGTTCATCACCAGCAAACCAGTATTACATGAAATGTTGAAGGGTCTTCCTAAAGAAGATAAAAAATATGAACAATAAAAAGGCAATAAATACATATCTATCAACAACTGAATCTACAAACAAAATGAGCAAGCAGAACAGAAACACACTCATAGATACAGAGAACTTTTTGTGGGTTGCCAGATGAGAGGGGGCTTTGGGGATGGACAAAGCAGGTAAAGGTATTAAAAAGTACAAATTGGTTGTTAGACTGACAAACCTCAGAGGGCATGGGGGAGGGGGAGCAGGATAAACCAAAGAACTTCTATGCATGTGTGCATAACCAGTGGACACAGAAAATAGCTGGGGAAGGCAGGTGGGGACAGGAGCAGGGAGGAGGGGAAAAAAGACAGACATGTCTAATACTTTCAACAATAAAGATCTTTTTTTTAATGTCTAACTGGTAGACCCAGAGAATAAAATGGAGGTTTCCAGGTACTGGAAGAAATGGGGAGATGTTGGTCAAAGGGTATAAACTTTCAGTTATAAGATGAATAAATTCTATAGCTGTAATGTACCGCATGATATTACAATTAATAATACTGTGTTTTCACCATTAAAAAAAAGTAACTGTGAGATATGGAAATGTTAATTTGATTGTGGTTATATTTTTATAATGTATACCTTTTAAAATCATGTCGTACCACATAAATACATACAATGTTTATTTGTCAATCTCATACCTCAATAAAGCTGGATAAAGATAAATACACCAATTAAAAGACAAAAAACAAATAGCATGAAATGAAAAAAGAAATGTGTTTCAAAGTAACCCCAGAGAAGGAGTTTCTGGGGCCATGAAAATAACCCCAGGCTACAGCCTGTTTCTTGTCACAGTCTTAAGTAGCCCCAGGTGTCTAGCTGCTCCTCCTGTCCCTGGGCTCAGCCTCCTTCAGGCCCAAGCCCCACAGTGCTCAGTGGGACAGCGTTTAAGCTCAACACCAACTGCGTTTCACCCCTGCCCAAGGTCACATGCAGTTAGTATTGACCTGTGACATTCAGACACTTCACATTTATCTCTGGGAAGGTGGGAAAAGGAGGTATCTGCCTTTTATTATATAAACACCTACTCTTTGAATTTTGTATTATGAGAGGGAATTACTTTTGTAAAATGTCTTTCGGTTTTAGTCCTCCTTAGAAAGTGCATTCCCACTCAAAGGTTACTATTTTTTTATATTCTCCTATGCTTCCTTTAGTAACTTACAGTTTATTTTTTTTATTTTTATTTTATTTTATTTTTTATTTTAATTTTATTTTATTTATCCTTACCCAAGGATATTTTTACATTTATCATCAGATAGAGTGGGAGGGAAGGAGAAGAAGAGAGGGAGAAAGAGGAACATCAATGTGAGAGAGACACATTGGCTGCCTCCTGCACGACCCGACCAGGGCCGAGGACAAACCACAACCAAAGTACGTGCCCTTGACCAGAATCGAACCCCAGAGTCATTGGTCCGAGGGCTTTAACCACTGAGCAAAACTGGCCAGGCTACCACCTCACTGTTTTAATTAATATAGCTTTGTAATGTATGTTTAATGTGTACGCTGGTTAATCCTTCTTCCAGAACTATCCTGGTAATGTCGAATTTTAAGAAAAATGTGTGCTGTAGAATCAGTTTTTTATTTTTTATTAATCCTCACTTGAAGATATTTTTTCATCTATTTTAAGATAGGGAGGGAGTGGGGGAGAGAGAGAAAAACATCGATTTAAGAGACACATTTTGATTGGTTGCCGCCTGCATGACTCCAGCTGGGACCAGGGATCAAACCTGCAACCCAAGTACCAGCCCTTGAGTGGGAATTAAACCCCCAGCCCTTTGGTCCACAGGCAGACACTCAAACTGCTGAGCCAACCTGGCCAGAGCAGCTTTTTATTTCTTTTAAGAAAATCTTCTTGCACCCAGCTGGCTGGTGGGGCTCAGTGGTTGAGCACTGACCCTGCACCAAGAGGTCACCAGTTCAATTCCTGGTCAGGGCACATGCCCAGGTTGTGGGCCTGGTCCCCAGTGGGGGGCATGCAGGAGGTGGCCAATTGATGTTCTCTATCATTGATGTTTCTCTCTCTCTCTCCTCCCTTTATCTCTCTCTCAAATCAATAAAGAAAAAAAAATTTTTTTAAAGAAAATCTTGTTGGTACTTTTACTGTGATACCACTAAATTAAAGGTTAATTCAAGAAAAATTGGCATCCTTCTAATTAGTACAAGTGTCTTCTGAATCCCTCAGTGGCCATGGAAAGTCTTTTCCTGATAGATCTTGTCTGTTTCTTTTTAGTTTCTTATTAGCTATTTAATTAAGGATCTAGATTCAATCATATTTTTCCCTGCTTCCTAAGACTTCTGTTTCAGCACTAATATTAAGTAGTTATTCAAAGCAAACAGAAAACTGTAGTGATGTATTAAATAGTATCTGAACACTGTAATTAGACCTTTCGCTAAGTTTTGGACTATTCCTAGATTAGATAGATACACATGGACGACTCATAAAATACATAATCACCTTTCTTTCTATTTAAACATTTTTATTTATTAATTTTTAAGGGGCGGGGGTTGAGAGTGAGATGGATTTGTTTTTCCACTTATTCACTGGTTGATTCTTATATGTGCCCTGACTGGGCATCGAACCCACAATCTTGGTGTATCAGGATGATGCTCTAACCAACTGAGCTACCCAGCCAGGGCTGATAATCACCTTTCTTGATATGATACTCTCTTCAAGAAGCAATTCATACCCATACACTACACTTAAAATATATATAATAATAAACACATCATTTAAATCATATATTTATAATTTAAAGTGTTTGATTTCTTTGGAATGAAGTTAGCTGGCTGATTTTAACTGAAAAGACCCATCTCATATGTTAAAAAAAAAACAACTAAAAGTCAGACACTTCACATTTGGAAGGATGGAACCCTGGCGAGCGAAGACGGCACGCACTCACCGGGACAGGATGCCCACAAAACTCCACGCAGCAGAGCCGTGCAGCAGGGTCTTCACATTGCCAAGTTGGCTCATAAACTCGATGGTTTCACTCACTCTGCCAACTCTAAATATCTGCAGGATGTCCACTGGACTTTCACTGTAAGAATCAGCAGAAAAACCTTGAGGTTACATAATTGAAAGCAAAATGAAAAATCATTATCAGCACAAACCACAAACAGCCCAAATGTCTGATGCAATGAATCAGAACACATTATATCTTTGAAATATCATGCAGCCATTACAGCCATTAAAAAATCACATTCTAAATTCCAAAATGGCAGCAGAGTGAATGGAAGCTACACAGACGATCTGCCAGGACCAAACTGAAATTACAACTTAAATAAAGAAAAATCATTGGAAAAAGCAACAAAAAAGCAGTTTACGGGGACCATATAACCAGGGACACTGAATCAATCCTGGTAAGATTGTGGAGGCCGAGAGGGGGTCTGTGAGCCCACAGATAGCAGAGGTCTTAGCTGTGAGCAGCACCCTCAGGGTTACACTCCCAAGAGGCTCCATAGCAGAGAGCCGGGACAGACCCTAAAATAGCCACAGCCACTCACCTTGGGCTCCAACAGAGGAACGTCAGACTGGACTGAAACTGTGTGGGGACACTCAGGATTTGGAGAGTGCTCAGAGCTTTTCCTGAGTTGCAGCCACACAGGACAGTGGCCATTATACCCCTTCCCAGGGCTCTGGGGAGAGGCGGTGGCCCTTCCCATGGAGATTCAACCCCACCCAGGTGGCCATTGAAATACAAATTGAGCCCTGGCCAGTTTGGCTCAGCTGTTAGAGTATCTCCCTGTAGTCCAGAGAGATCCGGATTCAGTTCCGACTAAGGGCACGTACCTTGGTTGCAGTTTGTCCCTGGCCCTGGTTGGGTCATGTGGGAGGCAGACACTCGAAGTGTCCCTTTCACGTCGATGTTTCTCTCTCTCTCTCTCTCTCTCTCTCTCTCTCTCTCTCTCTCTCCTTCTCTCTCCCTCCCACTCTATCTGAACAAAAAATGTCCTTGGGTGAGGATAAAAAAATAAAATAAAATAAATACAAATTGAAGCTCATTAACAAACAGCATCTGCCCGACCCTGAGGAAATCTTCCTACCCTAAACACCTGAGGGAGTTTTCATTCACCTGAGAAACCAAGGCTATTCAAGTAACCGTGATTAGTACCCTCCAGGCAAAAACCTAGAGCATAATTGAACCATTCCTGGGCTTGCAAATCTACCCAGGAAAGTAAGCGTTGAGAGTGGTATTTAATGTGGGTCCTCCCACTCTCATCCAAAACCAATAGAAGGAGCCACAAACAACAGAATACCAACACCTAAAGTAAAAATTTGGTAGGCTTCAAAACACATTGAGATAGCCAAAATGGTGAAACAAAGAAACAAATCCCAAATGAAAGAACAAGAGAACTCTACCAAAGATGAAATAAATAAAATGCAGTTAAGCAAGCTATCAGGGGTAGAATTCAGAGCCATAATCTTGAGGAAGTTCAACAGCATGAGTAAGGATATCAGCAGCAAGAGCAAAGAGAGAAACATTGAAAATCAACCATTGGAAATAAAAAAAACAGCAAAAAGAAATGAAGAATGACATAGCAGAAATAAAGAACACATTGGAAGGATTAAACAGCAGACTAGAGGAAGCTGAGGACAAGATCAGTGAATTAGAAGACAGGGTAGAAAAAAATCAACCAATCAAATAATTAGAAAAAAATGATTAAAAAAACAGAAAGCCAGCTTAAGACAACTGTGGGACAACTGAAAACATAATAATATTCACATCATAGGAGTCCCCGAAGAACAAGAAAATGAGCAAAAGTTAGAGAATATATTTGAAGAAATAGTGACAAAAAACTTCCCTAATTTGGTGAAGAAAGAAGGCATTCAAGTTCAAGAAGCACAGAGAGCCCCAAGTAAGAAGAACCCAAAAAGACCCATACCAAGACACATAGTAATTAAAATGACAAAAATTAAAGACAAAGAGAGAATCCTATAGGCAGCAAGAGAAAAGCAACAGGTAAACTACAAAGGAACCCCCATAAGGTTATCAGCTGACTTCTCACAAGAAACACTACAGGCCAGAAGAGAGTGGCATGAAGTAATCAAGGTCATGAAAAGCAAGGATCTGAATCCAAGACTACTCTATCCAGCAAGGCTATCATTGAAAACAGAAGGTCAAATAAAGGGCTTCCCAGACCAAAAAAAAAAAAAAAAAAAAAAAGGCTAAGGGAATACATTAGCACCTAAACATCACTGCAACAAATCTTAAAAGGACTGCTGTAATTAGTAGAAGAAATAGGAAGAAAAATATAACCACACTAAACAAAAATGGCAATAAATCAGTACATATCAATAATCACCTTAAATGTGACTGGTTTGAATGCTCCGATAAAAAGACAGAGTACCTGATTGGATAACAAAGCATGACTCATGTATATGTTTTCTACAAAGGCTCACCTCAAAACAAAAGACTCACGTAGGCTGAAAGTGAAGGGATAGAAAAAAGTCTTCCAAGAAAACAAACAGAAAAAAGCTGGGGTAGCCATACACATATTTGAAAAAATAAATTTCAAAATGAAGGCCAAAACTAGAGACAAAGAAGGTCACTACATAATATTGAAAGAATCTATCCAACAGAAAGATATAACCTTGGTAAACATATATGGACCCAATATAGAAGCACCAAAACATCTTCTGGAGGACTTCAAAGGAAAAATCGACAGCAATACAATCATAGCAGGGGACTTCAACACCACATTGACATCACTGGATATATCCTCTAGACAAAAAATGAACAAGGAAACAGAGACTCTAAATGAAGCACTAGACCAAATGGATTTAATAGATATCTACAGAGAATTATACAGCAAAACTGCAGAATTCACATTCTCAAGTGCACATAGGACATTCTCAAAGATGGACATGTTAGGACACTAACTAAGTCTCCACAAATTCAAGAGATTGTAATCATCTCACCAGATCAAAATGGCATGAAACTAGAAATCAATTGTAACAAGAACATGCAAAGACATTGGAACACATGGAGGCTACATAGCATGTTATTAAACAATGAATGGGTTACCAAGGAGTCAAGAAAGAGATTTAAAACTCCTGAAAATCAATGAAAATGAACACACAACAACACAAAACCTATGGGAGGCAGTGAAAGCAGTTCTGAGAGGGAAATTCATAGCACTACAGGCCTACATCAAGAAATAAGAGAGATTTCTAATAAACTATCTAAACTAAAATCTTAAAGAACTACAAAGCAAACAAAAAGAAAACCCCAGAGCACGTAGAAAAAAAAATATAGTAAAGATCAGAGCAGAAATAAATGGCATAGCAACCAAAAAGTTCATTCAAAGGATCAATAAAAGAAAAAGCTGGTTTTTCAAAAAGATAAACAAGATTGATGGACCCTTAGCTTGACTCATCAAAAAACTAAGAGAGAGAACCCAAATACACAAAATCAGAAATGAAAGAGGAGAAGTAACAACTGAAACCACAGAAATACAAAGCATGGTTAACAAATACTATGCACAATTATATCGCAACAAATTCAACAATCTAAGCAAAATGGACAAATTTCTAGAAACACATAGTCTCCCTAATCTGAACCAGGAAGAGATAGAAAACTTGAACAGACCAATAACAACTAAGGAAACTGAAGATGTAATCAAAACTCTCCCAGCAAACAAAAGCCCAGGCCCAGATGGCTTCACGAGTTTTACCGAACATTCAAAGAAGAATGAACACCCATTCTCCTCAAACTATTTCAAAAATTCAAAAAGGAGAAAGACTTCCAAACTCGTTTTATGAAGCCAGCATAATTCTAATTCCAAAACCAGAAAAAGACACTACAAAGAAAGAAAATTACAGGCCAGTATCCCTGATGAACATAGACACCAAAATCCTTAACAAAATACTGGCAAATCTGATCCAGCAATACATTAAAAAAATTATTCACCATAACCAAGTGGGATTCATCCCAAGGATGCAAGGCTGGTACAATATTCACAAATCAATAAATGTGATACACCACATAAACAAAATGAAAGATAAAAACCACATGATCATATCAATAGATGCTGGAAAAGCATTCAACAAAATCCAGCACCCATTTCTGATAAAAACAAACAAACAAAAAACTCAGAAATGTGGGAATAGAGGGATCATATCTCGACATAATAAAAAACATACATGAAAGACCTACAGCCGACATCATACTCAATGGCGAAAACTAAAAGTATTTCCCTTAAGAACGGGAAGAAGACAAGGATGCCCACTTTCTCCACTCTTATTTAACATAGTACTGGAAGTCATAGCCACACCAATCAGACAGGAAGAAAAAATAAAAGAGATCCAAATTATTAAAAAAGGAGTGAAACCGTAATTATTCACAGATGACGTGATACTATACATAGAAAACGCCAAAGACTCGATCAAAATTTACTAGACTTAATAAATGAATTTGGCAAAGTAGCAGGATATAAAATTAACATCAAGAAATCGATGGCATTCTTATACACCAATGATGAACTCACAGAAAGAGAAACTAAAAAAAAACAATCCCATTTACCATCGCAGCAAAAAAATTAAGATACCTAGGGATAAACTTAAACAAAAAAAATAAAGGACCTATTCGCAAAAGACTACAGGTCATTGAAAAAAGATATAGAGAAAGATATAAAAAAGTGGAAGCACATACCTTGTTCACGGATTGGAAGAATAATCATTAAAATCTCCATACTACCCAAAGGAATCTATAGATTCATGCAATTCTCATCAAAATACCAACGACATACTTCACAGATCTAGAACAAATACTTCAAAAGTTCATATAGAACAACAACAACAACACAAAAAACCTGGAATAGCCACAGCAATCTTGGAAAAGAAGAACAATGTTGGAGGGATCACATTACCAGATTTCAGGTTACACCACAAAGCCACAGTAATCCAAACAGCCTGGTACTGGCACAAGAACAGTGAAACAGAACAGAGAACCCAGAAATGGACCACAGGCAATATACTCAATTAGTATTTGACAATGGTGGCAAGAGTATACAGTGGAGTAAAAACAGCCCTTTAATA